ACCCTGAGTCCCCTGCAAGGTTAGAAAGACAGAATATAAATACTGTAAATAAATAAATAATTTTGCAAATCTGTAGCTTTTGTCCAAGCTTATAACAGATAACACCAACCTATTGGATTTTTGTTGTTTTAAACAGAGGGAAATTATCTTACATTGAAAGGATCAAGAATAGGTTTCTGACTCATCTTTCTGAAAACTTAAAGGGAATTTTGCAACTCCTCTGCTAATATATCCCTCAGACTTTGGCTATAAGCAGACACCAAGCATGACTGAAAATCACAGTTCACAAGTCACATTTCATAACTAAAGCCTTGCCAAACAGAAGTCTTATAGTTCTTTCAGTTTAGAAAGAGTCAATAGGAAGCATGGATGGATAGGAGCAGGCTTCCTTGAAGTAGAAAAACTCTCCACGTTTCAGCCATGGTACCAACAGACTGATTTGTGCCTATGAAACACGAGACCTTCATGCAACTTTAATGAAACTATAACAGTAAGTATATTCAAAATGAATGTTCAAAAAGAATAAATCTGAATATATATTTGACTTGAGTAACCTCAATTTTTGATATCTCTTTCCAGCCTATAGTTGTTATATCTTATTTCATTATTGTGTGTGTGTGTGAGTGATTTTCCTTACAAGGCCTTTTTCACGCTACACAGGTATGGCACTTGGGTACCACTTTAACTGTCATGACTACATTATTTTGAATGCTAGGATTTGTAATTTTATGAAGGAATTAGAATTTTGTAACGGACCAATTCAGGGACTCAGCAAATAATTCCTGCCAAGATGCCAAGGGGTCTTGTTTTGGCAGTAAAAGTGACATCAAAGTGTTATAATTTTGTCATGTTGAAGAGACCTTCATCTAAAACAGACCTATGTTTTACAGAATGAAGCTTCTTTTTATGAATGGAGAACTGATTTGCCACCCTTTCTAGATGGGATTACGATCCCTATGAGAAAACAGGATCCCATTTTGAGAACACATTCAGATCCAGCATTATACCTAGAAACCTAAGTGGTCTTTTGATGTGGAGTGCTTTTGCAAGCCCTTCTATTTCTTTGTAAGCTTTTTTGACCCATGACTTAATAAAAATGGGTGTTGAAAATGTAGAAGATGGCAGTTAATACTCCTCTGATGGACCCTCAATATTACAAACAATTGAAAGGGTCAAAACTGAGGTGGGTTCAGATGAACATTTCATCATCTGTAGTCTGTTCCAATGTGGATGAAACCCATCCACTTCAAAAGTAAAGGGAACTTTAGCTTAGAGTTTGGAAATGTTAGCTGTTTAATCATGTTAGATAGGAAGGATCTAGGACAGTGTTTTTCAACCTTCCTAACGCTGCGATCCCTTAATACAGTTTTTTATTTACTCTATTTGTATCCCACCTTTCTCTACCCTGAAGGGGACTCAAGGCAGCTTTACATATTCAATGTCTTTGAATAACAAACAGTTAAAATACATTAAGTCAAAGATTAAAAATTAAAAATTAATTGCACACTAAAAACATATAAAACAGTTCCTCAAGTTGTGGTGATCCCCAACCATAAAATTGTTTTAGTTGCTACTTCATAACAGTAATTTTGCTACTGTTATGAATTGTAATATAAATATCTGATATGCAGGATGTATTTTCATTCACTGGACCAAATTTGGCACAAATACCTGATATGCCCAAATTTGAATACTGGTGGGGTGGGGGGAGGGGTTGATTTTGTCATTTGGGAGCTGTAGGTAAAGGCAAAGGTTTTCCCCTGACATTAAGTCCAGTCTTCTCCAACTCTGGGGTGTGGTGCTCATCTCCATTTCTAAGCCAAAGAGCCAGCATTGTCCATAGACACCTTCAAGGTCATGTGGCAGGCATGACTGCATGGAGCGCCATTACCTTCCCACTGGAGTGGCACCTATTGATCTACTCACATTTGCATGTTTTCGAACTGCTAGGTTGGCAGAAGCTGGGGCTGACAGCGGAATCTCATGCCGCTCCCTGGATTCGAACCTGCAACCTTTTGGTCAACAAGCTCAGCAGCTCAGCGCTTTAACCCACTGTGCCACTGGAGGCTCCCTTGGGAGTTGTAGTTGCTGGGATAATAGTTAACTTACAATCAAAGAGCATTCTGAACTCCACCAATGATGGAATTGAACCAAACTTGGCACACATAGCTCCCATGACCAACAGAAAATACTGGAAGGGTTTGGTGGGCATTGACCTTGAGTTTTGGAGTTGTAGTTAACCTACATCCAGAGAGCACTGTGGACTCAAACGATGATGATCTGGACTAAACTTGGCACGAATACTCAATATGACCAAATGTGAACACTGCTGGAGTTTGGGGGAGATAGACCTTGACATTTGGAAGTTGTTGCTGCTTGGATTTATAGTTCACCTACAATAAAAGTGCATTCTGAACCCCACCAATAATAGAATTGGACCAAACTTTCTACACAGAACCTGCATAACCAACAGAAAATATTATGTTTTCTGATGGTCTTTGGCGACACCTCTGACACCCCCTCAGGACCCTCCCAGGCTGAGAAACATTGATCTAGGAGTTGGAGTCCCCTTTCAAAAAATCCAAACTCACAAACGTTTTCAAGCTATGATAAAACTTTGAAGTTGTAATGGGTGTTTCTTAAAGAACTAACCAAAAATGTTGGATTTTCCATCAGAAAAAGTATTAAATTGTGTGTCACTGTAAATTACTACCTTGATGGAACACAGGGTAGGGGAGGGAGAGAAGGCAGAAACCTTCAGGACTGTGCTAGTTAGGTGTCTTCTCTCAGACAATTAATAAGAATAACAATAACAATTAATTATAGCTCACACGTACAAAACATCTTCCAACCTTCCTTCCACACCTACATGTATGATTCATCATGACTAGGGAGGCATTTAACATCTCACAGCAATAACAGAGAGGCAACAAGATAGGAGGATAATTCGCAAGGTCTGTCCAATTGAAACCCAGTAGAAGAAAGAGTTGTAGTTACTTAAACGACATCCATGTCCTCACCAAATTTAAGTACACCTACATAAAACCACTGCATTAACCCACATGCGGGCAAGTGTCCTCTGAAAATGGATCATCCTACTCCTCATCGATACTCTTGCAAAATGTTGCACCATGACTCACAAAGAAGAGCACCACACCTTTTGAGTCATTGTCACCAAGCACTTCCTGCAACACTTTGGCCGTCACTTCAGTTCTTTCTTCTCCTTCAACCAAGAAATGGCTCCTTCTAGTCCTGTTTGGTTTGTAGTCTTGCTTATTGTGTTTCATAATACAAGAGGATGGATAATAAAGAAGAACCCAGCTGCTCCAGCTGGGTCTCAGAACAGACTTCTGGGTCACCATGACGTCACTCTTCATAAATGCTCACAATGAAGGGGACACAAAAGTTGCTGTCAACTATGAAAAATTGATGATTGAACTCCTCCCTCCAGTAAGTGGAGACCAAATAACATCTATTTGCACCTCTGAATATGGTCACGGTGCTTTGGGAGCTGCAGTAGTGGAATATGGATGGGTGAATGGGGACCCAGACTTCTAACACACTGCATCATGTGTTGCAACAATCTCCAAGCACTGTTGCTTCAGGTCAGAGCTCCACAGTAACATTATCTTTAGCACAAAATATCTTTAGTTTCTCCCTAATGACATAACAATAGGAGAGATAAAACTGAATAATTTATCAGGTCAGAAGGGAACACTCTGGAGTAATAAAATAGAGAAACACTATTGAGATCATGGAATATGCACAGGAGATTCTTGTTTTATGTATAGACTAGGCTCTTTGTTAGCTAAATCACTCCTCTTTATAGGTATAAATCCTTATAATGAGGGTCTTAACATATCCTGTGTGTCTGTATCGTGCATAAGAAGGAATGAGTATCCCAAGTAGAGACTTGAGATTTAGTTGGGTGATTCTTCACTCAAAAAGGGTGGAGTTGAAACCTGACAAATGACTATGACTTAGGCACAACATCTGGGCAGGCGGATTCTTTTGTTAGTTAAACTAAATTGATACTTATCAGTGAGATTAATTGTTGGACCATCATCTTTAAAATGCTAATGAAATTAGCAGAAGTTGTTTTGGAAAGAGGAAGCCATTTTAGAGAAGGTGGATGTGTTTAGGTTGAAAAAAATAAAGAGAACTGAGGTGTTGTAGGTTTTTTGGGTTGTATGGCCATGTTCTAGAAGCATTCTCTCCTGACATTTCACCTGCATCTGTGGCAAGCATCCTCAGAGGTTGTGAGGTTTGTTGGAAACTGGAAAATTGGGTTTTTATATACAACCCGAAAAACCTATAACAACCCAGTGATTCTGGCCATGAAAGCCTTCGGCAATACAAAGAAAACTGAGTTTCTATGCAGGAGCATCACGGTGTAGTTTTCTGCCTAGTGTGACAACATGTACATGTGTAAACACACATGTTACAAAATAACCGAAGTCTTCCATTGAGGAAACCCTGCTCTCTTGAAAAATTTCAAACCTCAAAAGTATTAGAGTGTGCATATTATATATAAATTAAGTGCATTCTTCATGCTGTCCCTTTAATTATAGTTGTCACTGTTTAGAATACACCATCCAAATGTCATATCTCACTCCAACTTTATCAGACCCCATAAGAAGCAATTCATGTATTTATAACCAACTAGGTGAGTCTTTAGGAGGTTCTAGTGCATGACTGGAAGGCCTGTGTTCAAGAGGCCAGATACAGCTCCAAGTTGCCATTTGACTGCCACTGTCATGCTGGCCTAATTTCCTGTCTCTTATGCTGTGGTGCACCTTAAAGAACGTTTCCATTGGTGTCAACAGTGGCTTTTAAAAGCCTAATTGCATTGTATGGAGTAGGAACACAGGATTGCTGCTGGGAAGGTAAAAAAACAAAAACCCTCCCCTCCCACTGAAGTGAAGCTTTCAAAAGCCTCCATTGACACCAGTTAATTGATAGGCTGAGCAGGCCATGATTTTCAAATAAACAAACCAGAGTTTATCCCACAAATTGTTCTTTTATTGACCATTATCAATACAGAAAAAATATTATTTTCCCATGTAAATTGTAGATTACCAAACAAAACCACCTACTTATCCTGCAAATAATCTAAGAAAAGAAAAAGAAAAGCTCATAGATTCAAACAACAGCTAGTGTTGATCATTAGCTATGTATGTACAAGAAGTGGTCCCCCGATAATGAGTAAATTAACAGAGAATGCCAAAAAAAGAGCATTTCCTAGAGTCACAATGCAAAACATTGTCTTTTAAACCAGCTTTTCGCTAGGTTTGAGTACTGTTTCATTCAAAAGGCCAAGGACACATGCGTGCATATGGTGTTGCCATGCTAAACAAACTATAAATAACATATTTGCCTGCTTTGATTCTTTCGTTGTGCCATGGCAATATGTAGCTATACTAGTTAAACTGTTATTCCTGTTCACGTCTTCACAGTTGCCTTATATTATCAAGCAAAGTCTTTTCTTCCATGGCCAGTCCGTGGAAATAGGAGTTTGTCTTGCTGGCTCAAATTCAGTACAATGAAATCCAAGGCGTACTATTCACAGGCCAGCTTCCCATCAAAGCTGGACAGGGCAATGGCAAAGGCTTGCACAGCACAAAGTGGGTAGTTGTAATCCAGGGTAAAAGCATCATCAGCAACACGGCCAAACTGCAAGACGATGTAGTCAGCTGTAGGATAAGAGATAAGGTACAATCAGTTCAATAGCACGAGATCTTGCTACAACGCTAAATAAATATACATAAAAATTAAGGGTGCCTTTTGGTTCTTTGTTCCTGGCATGACAAAATTAAACAAAGGACTCTTTCCATAGCTAAGTGAAGATTCAACCCTTGTTTTCCCATTCTCTTTTTTTGGTATTTTAGTACAATAATTCTGGAACTGACATCTCAACATGAGGATCACATGAAGGAATGATGTGACATGGGATGTAAAGTGGTTTGGCTATTGACTGTATGGCACTCCTATGCATAAAACAGGTTGGCTGTGTACCAACATGAGCTCAAACACTGGCAGTGTTTACTTTTCAAAACCATGTTGGTCTGCTCCGGAAGAACAATGATAGTCTTATGACACCTTTAAGACTAATATTTATTTCAACTTGAGTTCCTGAGGACTACGGTCCATTTCTTTAGATGTTTATACACTTGAAGAACTGGACTGTAATTTTCAAATATTTAAGGTAAAGATGTATTGTCGAAGGCTTTCATGGCCGGAACCACTGGTTTGTTGTAGGTTTTCCGAGCTATATGGCCATGTTCTAGAGACATTTTCTCCTGATGTTTCGCCTGCATCTATGGCAAGCATCCTCAGAGGTAGTGAGGTCTGTTGGAAGTAGGAAAATGGGTTTATATATCTGTGGAAAGACCAGGGTGTGACAAAGGACTTTTGTCTGCTGGAGCTAGGTGTGAATGTTTCAACTGACCACCTTGATTAGCATTTAATGGCTTGGAAGTGCCTGGGGGAATATTACAACAGCAAAACAACAGAGAGTAAACAATCAGGCACATCAAATCACCTCTCAAAGAAAGATTCCCCCAGGCACTTCCTGCTGTTTTCTGCTGCCCTGGAGACTAGGACTGCATGGAGTGCCATTACTGTCCTGCCAGAGAAGTACCTATTAATCTACTCACATTTGCATGTTTTTTAATTGCTAGGTTGGTAGAAGCTGGGGCTAACAGCAGGAGCTCACCCCGCTCCCCAGATTTGAATCTGCGACCTTTCGGTCAACAAGTTCAACAGCTTAGTGGTTTAACACACTGCGCCACTGGGGGCTTCAAATATTTATGCTATAACAAATCTGTTAAGGCTAAGTCCAAGAGGTGTAGTAGTTTGAGCATTAGACAGGTTCTGAAAACCAAGGTTTGAATCCCCACTTGGCTATGGAAAGCGTCTGAGTGACTTTGGAGAAGTCACACTCTCTGAGGCCCCATCTCAGAAACTGTAATTTCATAGTGCAATTTAACTGCATTATATATGTTATATGTGTTTACACTGCCATGTAATACAGATTAACACAGACCCCTCCTACACTGCCATATAATCCAGATTATGAAATCAGATAATCCATATTATCTCCTTGAACAGATTATATTAGTCTACACTGCCATATAATTCATTTCAAAGCAGATAATCTGAATTTTACATGACAGTGTAGAATTGGCCTCAATCTTACTGGAAGGCAAAGTCAAATCCCATCTGTGAAATCTTGCCAAGAAAACATTGTGGTAGGTTTGTCTTGGAGCTGCCATAAGCCATAAACTATTTACATGCTCACACAACAACAAAGTAGAACTACTGAACTGAATAGGGCTTCTTAGTTGTCGCTTAGAAAAATTCCATAGATGTTTTTCCCAATAGGTTTTCTCTATTTGGGACTAAATTGAACTTAACCTTTTTGATCTTAAAGATGCCAAAAGACTTTTTGTTATGGTGTCACATACTTCCCACAGCAAACACTTATCCTGAAAATGACAAGTCATTTTCTGATTTGGGAAAGTGCCTCCTAGTATTCATTCAGTCTAACCTCCAAGATAATGACCATCTATCACAAGAGGAGCAAGAGGGAGGAAAAAGAACTATTCACAGAAAAGTTGAAGGGGTCCATCTTTATGCTACATTGTCATCCTGACTATATTTCAGACTTGGTCAGAAAGCTCAATTCAAATAACACTATTATTCTGACACCATCTTCCAGAGGTGGACAATGCAACCTCTAAGGGCATTTTTTGCACCCCATGATTCCCTCCACCCCAAATTCCCTGGGACCACTTTTTCTGGTTAGAAAAGTGGGTCATTGTCTTGCTGAAAGATGAGTTGCTTCCAAGAGCATCAACTCATCTTTGAATTATGATTCCATTGGACCCTATATTTATTTTAAAAACATGAAGTGGGCCTCAGGTCAGGTTTATGTACTGTTTTCCTGGAGCTTAAATAATATACATTAAAAACAGTTCACCAGGTTAAAATCACCATCCACATCAGTCCATTGCAATCAAATAAAGTCTTATCTTCACCACTAAATTGGTCTATTCTACAAACACTTGATCCCATAGCCAGGATCTTTTGGAAGTTTCTTTCAGAAGGTCAGGAGAAGGGAGTTCCACAGCCGAGGGCCCACCAAGGAGAAGGCCCTGTCTCTCATCCCCACCAAACATGACTGCAATGGCGGTGGGACCTTAACGTCCTTGGTGGTTCATAGAGGGAGATATGTTCAGACAGATAAACTGGGCCGGAACCGTTTAGGGCTTTATAGGTTAAACCCAGCACTTTGAATTGTGCTCAGAAGCTAATAGGCAGCCAATGGAGCTGGTGTAACAAGGGAGTTGTATGCTCCCTGTACCCCACTCCTGTGAGCAACCTGGCTGCTGAGTGTTGGACCAGCTGGAGCTTCTGAGCAGTCTTCAGAGGCAACCCCATGTAGAGTGTGTTGCAGTAGTCTATTCGGGATGTAACCATAGCGTGGACCACCATGGCCAAGTCAGACCTCCCAAGATACAGGCGCAGCTGGCGCTCAAGTTTTAACTGTGCAAAAGCTCCCCTGGCCACCGCCGAGAATTGGGGTTCCAGGCTCAGCGATGAGTCCAAGGTCATTCCCAAGCTGCAAACCTGCACCTTCAGGGGAAGTGCAACCCCATTAAGCACAGGCTGTAACCCTATACACTGTACTCTGGCTTTCTGATCCATGTCTAATGGGAGTCTCTCTCATACACACACACACACACAAGCACACACATATACATACACATATATAATCAACAACATCCAGGTATATATCCTTTCTTTCTGTCACCAAGCCCATGCAGCTAACATGCATTTGAACAAAGCTATGTTGTTGAGGAGTCTACGCTCAAACGCTAAGGAGAAGGCATGTGATGGACAGAGGGGAGGAAGAGCACCACAGAGTTCAGGAGTTGACTGGCCACCTGCCGGGCAACGCATGGATGTTTCTTCAACAGAGCAACCAAGTGAGTACATATCTTTTTCCAGCTGGGCGAGGAGCGCAGAAGAACCAATGCATACTGCCTCCCCCAGGAGAGCTGCCCCCTCACCCGAATTCCTAACCAAGACATTTGAGGCATTCTGGGGGTCTCTCTGACTCACTGCCTTCGGTCATGACTCCCTTTGTTACCAGTGAGGATAAGAAGAAATCTGTAAAAATAACTGGGGGCCCCAAGCAGGTTCTTTCTGTCCTGTAACCCTACACCCCAGACAGTAACATCCCCTGATTGGGCTGGACAGGTGACAAGCAGACATGTCACATACTGTGTAAATATTGCCCGGCTGCTTCTGTTTGCTGCTTGGAGGTGGATTCCATCAAATACCCACAGCCCCAGCACACTCTCAGAGGGAAGGAGGTGCTAGAGGTACAATATTTTGTCCTTGTTTTGTATCTGAACAGCTGCTTTGGGCATCAATAACCAAGGCACTGCCAAGAGGCTTTGAGCCAGATTTTTGCAGTCACACAGATTTCTAAAGGGTATGGATCTCATTTACACAAATAGATAAATGTGCAGATGAACTCAGTATGAATCCTGCATACTAGGATGGGTCGGTATTGAGTGGGTGACTTTTGAGCCTACTGGAAAGCACAGTCTGAGACCAGAGGATTGATTACTGTCTTCAACTTTACAATTTTACTGGGAGGCTGTATATGTGAAACCATCTATCCATACAAATGGCAACTATGTAATTTTTTAAAAAAGCAGGTAGAAGTCTTCTGACTTGTGGTAAGGGGTTTTATCTCTTTATTCATCTCCCAGTTCTCATTAATCTGGAGTGGGCCCTCTTGCTTGTCCTATTAGCGCTAATGGGAGTTTTTCTCTCAAAGTAAGCAACAGGAGGATGTGTGCTTTGCATGTGTCCAAAGGAGGGCAACCAAAATTGTAGACACCTAGAAAGCATGCCTTATGAAGAGTGGCTTAGGGACCCGGATATGTTTAGCCAGAAAAAAAGAAGGCCAAGAGGTGACATGGTAAAGGTAAAGGTTTCCCCTTGACAGTAAGTCTAGTCCAGATATGAAGACATGGAGCAACATATTAACATGACAGGAAAAGAGATTTCATCTAAACATTTGGGAAGAACTGCCTAATAGTAAGAGCTGTTTGACAATGCTGCCTTGGAGTATGGTGGAGTCTTCTTGTTTGAAAGTTTTAAACAGAGGCTGGATATCCATCTGTTGGGAGTGATTGTGTATTTCTGTATGGCAGAGGGTTGGACGATGGTCCTTGTGGTCTCTTTCAAGTCTATGATTCTGTACTTGAACTACAATGGTAAACAATACCTTAGAAAAACCGTTCTTGCCCAGATCCTGATTTGGAATGGGAGATGCTCTCATTGAGTTGTTGTAGGTTTGATTAGCATTTCTTGTCTGGAGTTCCCCAGTGTTTGAGTGTTGTTCTTTATTTGCTGTTTAAGAGTTTTTAAATACCAATAGCCATATTTTGTTCATTTTCATGGTTTCTTCCTTTTTGTCTGGCTACTGGTATTAAAAAAAACTCTAAAATTATAAGAGTCAATAAAGAACACTCAAACATAGGGGAACTCCAGACAAGAAACAATCAGGGACAGCTAATCACGTCTCAGGCAGTAACACATCACAACTAAAAACTGTCAGGCTATCAAATGCTAATCAAGATGGTCAATTGAAACATCTCTTGCATAATCAACTATTTGTATATCTGTAAATGAGCTTCAGCTCTAGTCTTTACATTCAGTGAATGGGTTAGCGGTGGAAATATTTAAGTACCTCCAACCAGGACAAGGAGTTCTCGGTTCTCCTGGTCACTTAGGAATTAGTGATCACAGGAAAGCTGGGAGAAGACAATGATGTTGGGGGAAATGGAAAGAAAAAGGAAGAGGGGCAGGCCAAGGACAAGATAAATGGATGGTATCCTTGAAGTGACTGGCTTGACTTTGAAGGAGTCGGGGGTGGCCATGGCCGACAGGGAGCTCTGGCATGGGCTGGTCCATGAGGTCACAAAGAGTTGGAAGCAACTGAATAAATAAACAACAACAATAATTACCCAACCTTTCCCAAACTTGTGCCTTCCAATCATCTTCACTAATATGCAATCCAGGATACCCAGAAGGTAACCAGTCAGGAAAGGCTAACATCATTGTGATTTTGGGAAAAAAGAGAATCCCATGTATGATGTAAGTGACCAAAATCATACCCCAGAATTCCTTCTATAATGAGTTGTTATGCTAAATCAGAATAATAACTCCGTGTTGAAACTATATGGATTTGAATTATGTAAACAATTCAACATGTCTCTGAAAACTAGGGAAATTCAGAACATTCTCTTAAGTTGAAAACCATAGTCCAAATGAGATATTTTCACACTATATAGTCATAGCTCTAGTTCTATTTGTAAATTCAGTTGCTTTATTATCCTATGGAATCTTAAGGTTTGTATTTAATGAGGCACCAAGAAGTGCCTCTCCTTGAACTGTAAATCATAGGGTTCTATTGGTTGTTATCATGATAGTTCAACTGGAATCATAGTACTATAATTTTGTAGTGTGAAACGACCCTTTCCAAGATGTATGCACTGGCCTTTGTAAATGTAGCCTGAACTAAAACTGGATTACTAGCTTGGGTTATTGGGGAAACTTTGCTGTTTCTTCCGAGTTTACAAGGGCCTCATAAATGTATGTTCCACACTGTGAATTGAATACACAGGAGGGTGCCTAGTCTCAAACAAAGAAACAAAAGCAAACTCTAATTCGCCTTTTTGGCACTCCAAGAAGCCTAGCAAGCAACTCCAAATTTTATTCCTGGCTGTCTACTCTCATGCACCCTCTAGTGGATCATTTGCACAGATACAACTCTTAAGTGATAAGCCAATTTTTTGGGGGTGGGTGGGATTTGCTGGTGTGATTACAGCCACGACAATGTAATTGAAATGTTGCCCTGTGACCTTCTTGGAAGCTGGTTTCAGATGGGAGCAAATTCAACTTATTGTATGCCCCCTGATTACAGGAGAGAAAACCCTGTCCAGAGGAGGGCTACTAAAATGATCAAGGGTCTGGAGAATAAGCCCTATGAGGAGTGGCTTAAAGAGCTTTAACCTGAAGAAGAGACGACTGAGAGGAGACATGATAGCCATGTATAAGTATGTCAGAGGAAGTCATAGGGAGGAGGGAGCAAGCTTGTTTTCTGCTGCCCTGGAGACTAGGACACGGCATAATGGCTTCAAACTATAAGAAGCCAAGAAAGGAAATTCCATCTGAACATTAGAAAGAACTTCCTGACTGTGAGAGCTGTTCAGCAGTGGAACTCTCTGCCCCAGGGTGTGGTGGAGGCTCCTTCTTTGGAAGCTTTAAACAGAGGCTGGATGGCCATCTGTCGGGGGTGCTTTGAATGCAATTTTCCTGCTTCTTGGCAGGGGGTTGGACTGGATGGCCCACGAGGTCTCTTCCAACTCTATGATTCAATGATTCTAAAGGGATTCATATGAAACACTGGCTAATATTGTCAACGGTGATACCAAGAAGGGGGTGTAGTTTGTACATGAGGACCTAAGTAAATAAGTAAAACCACAAATAAGTGAACAGTATATATTGGTTTCTTGGTGTCATACTGTATATAACAGATTGAAGATTATTCTTGTTGTTACACATATGGAACCCCATTTATTTTGACAATCAATTTTTTGAACCTTTTGTGTGGACCCAATTACTCTTGAGCCAAGCCTGTTTGGTCTTCACTTTCATGGGTCACAACTTTGATGGGACTTACGGTCATTGCAGTGGACAATCTGGAAATTCTTGACAGAGGCATGAGTAACTCTCCCATGGAAATTCAGCACATAGGACTGGGTCTCATCATTCCACACCGGGGCTTTGTTATGCAGTTCAATTAAATTGTCCATTATTTTACTCTGCCACCTCATAAGCAGGCCATCGTTATCCTTGGGACAAGTGAGAAAAGCATTAGAGCTAGTAATTCAAAGGCATTCCTTGGTGCAACTAGTACTCCTTCCTAACATTCAGCTGTGTGGGGATGGGAGGTAGAGACACCAAGAAACAACATATGAGCATACATAAATTCATACACACCCTGCCAATAGCTCAAGGCAAGATCTCCAGTCCCCTGGGCCTGATTCTCCCATATATTTCAAAAGTGGGTAGCATTTCACTCTTGTCTTTCTTAAGGATATTTGTGTAGCAAACAGTTTGCACAGGTTATGGACTTCGTAATCTCTTCCAACTCTGTAATTCTGATTCTATAACAGGCATGGGCAAACTTGGGCCCTCCAGGTGTTTTGGACTTCAACTCCCACAATTCCTAATAGCCGGTAGGCTATTAAAGAACTCAAAAATCAGAACAGTAAATAAGGAACAACATTCAAAAACAGGGGAACCCCAGATGAGAAACAATCAGGGACAGCTACTCACCTCTCAAAAAAGGATTTCCCCAGGCACTAAGAAGCCATACCTAAAAACTGCTAGGCCATCAAATTCTAATCAAGGTAGCCAATTGAAACATTCACACCTACCTCCAACAGACAAGAGTTCTTTCTCCCACCCTAGACATTCCTCAGATCTAAAAACCCATTTTCCTAGTTTCCAACAGACCTCACAACCTCTGAGAATGCCTGCCATAGATGCAGGCAAAATGTCAGGAAAGAATGCTTCTGGAACATGACCATACAGCCCGAAAAACTTACAACAACCCAAATCTACAGAGCCTATCTTGTTCTCAACTTGGGGATGCCTGTATATAAAACAAGGTAAATATGAAACATAAATTAATTTTGTTTATAGACCTGAGTCCATCTCCAAGATATCTCATTATCTCCCTCCCTCTCCCTCTCTCTCTATATATCTGAAATCCTAAACACTTATGATCCCATGCATTTTAGATAAAGGATAATCAATCTGTATTGTGAAAATGTATTGATATTATAGTATAAATATGGTAGGGAAATACTAGTTCATTTAGACCCCAAGAAAAGTGTCTGCAAGCCCAGAGAAAGCAACATCTGTGTTCACTGCATCACGGTCTGCAAAGCTTATCTTATAAAGATCCCTTTCACTCCCAAATTCTGAAAACCTCTAGAATCAGCACTTCTCCTTTTAAACAAAGTGTGCATAGTGGATTCAGCTATGGAATCTTTTCAGGCAGGTTATTCTACAATTTGAGGACAGCTGAAGGAAAACTCCTATGGGTTCAATTTTGGCTGACTTAAGTAAATAAGCAGAAGACTTAATTGCACAAGGCAGATTGTTTGAGAGAAGGTGGTCTCATAGGTAACCTTGTCCCAAACCATGTAGGGCTTTAAAAATAACAACCCTCACTTTGTACCTTGTTCAGAAACTAACTGGAAGCCAATTGAGTGATTTTAAAATAAGCGTACTATCACTCCAGGTTGTGCTATATGTGCTATAGTTTGCTCCAAATCGCCTGATTTTTAACAAATACATATTTTAGTCTTTTAAAATTAGAATTAAGAGTTCATTGTCTTATACTGATTTAATTGAAAGCCTCTATTACATAATACTAGATATAAATATTTAAATACAGAGAGGGGGGAAGGGAGGGAGAGGGAGAAATTACTCTGACTTGATTTGTTTTGTGTAAAGGTTCTATTGGCAACTTACATTTCGGGGCCGGATTGGCACCCTCTCGCTGTCAGAATTCATTCCAGGGATAACCACTGTCATTTTTCGAGGTCCCTTAAATCCTAATACATTTGTCTCCTGCAACAGAAACCCCAGTAATCATATAAATGAGTGAAGATCTTCTGTCCCACAAAACACAGATGGTTCATTTATGTTACCAAAGCAAGCTGGTTCAATACGTTCAAGCAGTTATTCTGCTAGCTACAAGCTTGTGCTAAACCTATGGCCCAGCAGTTGCAAACCTTGGAACAATATAAACATGGTATTGTTATAGCTCGAAGGGGTTAGCATTTTGCCTATATAAGGGAGAAAAGGGAAAGGTGCCATTCTCCAGATTTTGTTGAACTGCACACCCATCATTTATTTATTTATCTATCTATTTATCTATTTATCTATCTATTTATTTATTTATTTATTTCGTGTACTTCTACCCTGCCCTTCTCAACCCCTGAGGGGGGACTCAAGGCAGCTTACAAAAAGGCACAATTTGATGCCTACACAATAATACAAATAAACGTGTAAAACAGCAATTAAAACAATTAAGACAGTTAAAACAATCAATATATATCACAGTCAATAAACCAATCTCAAGCTCAGCGTTCGCCAACTCAGAGTCCATATTTCATTCTACATTATCTATTCCTATCAGTCGTCGTAGTCCTTTATTCATCTGCCAGATTGCCCAAACGCCTGGTCCCAAATCCATGTTTTTAATTTCCTTCTAAAGGAAAGGTTTGATGTCGCTGATCTAATTTCCCCGGGGAGTGAATTCCATAGGTGAGGGGCCACCACCGAGAAGGCCCTGCTCCTCGTCCCCGCCAATCTCACTTGTGATAGAGGTGGGGCCGAGAGCAGGGCCTCCCCAGAAGATCTTAAACTTCGAGGTGGGATAGAGGGAGATCCGTTCGGACAGATACGCTGGGCCGGAACCGTATAGGGTTTTGTAGGTCAAAACCAGCACTTTGAATTGTGCTCGGAATTGGATCGGCAGCCAGTGGAGCTGACATAGCAGGGGGTGGTATGCTCCCTGTATGACGCTCCGGTGAGCAATCTGGCTGCCTCCCGCTGGACTAATTGAAGTTTCCGAACAGTCTTCAAAGGCAACCCCACGTAGAGTGCGTTGCAGTAATCTAATTGGGATGTAACAAGAGCGTGGACCACTGTGGCCAGAACCGACTTCCCAAGGTATGGGCGCAGCTGGCGCACAAGTTTTAATTGTGCAAAAGCTCTCCCGGCCATGAGTGTCCACTGGCTATATCACTAGCAATTCCAGGCTCTGTCCCACAGAATTCAGAATGCATTTAATTGGAATAAATTCTGGTGGGATTGTTAATGAACTATACAAGCTTTACTAGGTTCTAGCCAACATAATGCACTCTGTGTATTCCTCTCTACAAAACTTTCTACATGTGTGAGAAAAGTCATAGAAAACATTAACAAACCTTTGTTTTGGATTAGTCCTGGATAGGGCCGTAGCCAGAAAAAACTTTTGGGGAGGGTTGACAATTTTGGGGGAGGGGTTGAAAATTTGGGGGGGGGGGGTTGAAAATTTCGGGGAGGGTTGAAAATTTTGGGGGGGGTGGGTTGAAACCTGCCTCCTAGCTCACGCTGAAGCAAAGAGCACAGCAGGGGGCAGAGCAACCTTCAATAGCCTGCAGCTCCGCCCCTGTCAACCACCTCCACCAAGTCTGGCCTCCTTAATGAGAGCATTCAACACACACACACCCAACTTGGTTGCTTCACTACATAGGCTATTGCTGCAAGTAATGACAGTGTGAATAAATTGTCAATATTTGCTTGAGATAGTGCTTACAGTTCTGGAGGGACTCTTAATTTTTTGCATCTCATAGACTTAGCATGGGGATTTGGTTAACCAGTTAAAATTCATGAGTAAACCAGTTTTTTTAAAAAAAATCTGAAACATTTCAGGGGGGGTTTGAACCCCTAAAACCACCCCCTCGCTACAGGCCTGGTCCTGGATGCCCACTACATGTGGAGTATGCATTGCATATTTCCTTTGCATTTGGGTGCATTTTGATTGACTGTTTAGATAAGCCTTATGGTTCTTATTCACTTGGGAACAGTTTTTGCAGTGGATGGAAAGTTCTCAACATTCCCTTATTGCAAAGACCCACAACAAGCACGAAAGCCTGACATGTGCTGGCTGCTGTAAACAGCTGCCAGAGGCTAGCAGCTAAAGGGGAAGGAACACAACATGCTTGCACACACACACACACACACACACACGGCTGGTTACTTACATAAATGACAGCTGCAAGCTCCTGGCGTACATTTGACCAATCTGCATTTCCCCTGTCAGGGTTTACACCATTGTCAAATACTGAAAACCGAGTGCCCATCAAATTGGACCTAAAAGAGAAGACAGAAATCAGAGATGAGAGCACTGACAGAAAGCTGGGGGTATAGCTATCATGTATTGGGGAGCAGGGGATGAAAACTGTCCTCCAAATAAAAATCCTGCTCTCTAAAGTGATCCCCCCCCCTTTTAGTCCACAGATTTCTAGTACTGCCAGAGGCGGCCCTAGGTAATTTTCAACGGTAAGCAAACAGTATTTTGGCGCCCCCCCCCCCAAACCAATCATTTATATATATTTTCTGTTTGTCATGGGAGTTCTGTGTGCCATATTTGGTTCAATTCCATCATTGGTGGAGTTCAGAATGCTCTTTGATTGTAGGTGAACTATACATCCAGTAACTACACTTGCCACACTTGCTCCCTTGCTTGGCCTGCTTTGGGTCCAGAGGCGTGCCTGAAGACCCCGGCGTGTGCACCAAAAGTCACCTCTTCTCCTGACTTTCTCCTCAGCCATTGGGACCAAGAGAGAGAGAGAGAGAGGTGGAGATGCCCACCTTTCCTGAAGGTAGGCGCAAAAACAAAGGAGGGAGCTGAGGTGGGAGATACCTCCAGCCGGAGGGGCTCTCTCTCTCTCTCTCTCTTGGTCCCAATGGCTGAAGAGAAAGTCAGGAGAAGAGGCGACTTTTGGTGCACACGCTGGGGTCTTCAGACATGCCTCCGGACCCGGAGTGGGCCAGGCTTGGCGGCTCCGCCCCTTGGCCCACCGTGGATTGGGGAGAGGAGAGGAGGCGGGTGGAGCGCCGGGGGATCGGGAAAGGGAGCCGGTCATGGGGAAGGGATCGAACGCGGAGAACGATTGAGCGCCGGCTCTGCTCGCGCACCCGGTGGCCGGGTGGAGCAGGAATGAGAGGGGCTAGGCAGGGCTCAAGGGCCCGGCCCCTTTGGGAAGAGGATCGCCCGGCAGCGAGGCAAGAAAGCCGAGGCTCCCCCCGGACTGCTAGGGCTGTTGTGAGCTGAGGGGGCGCTCCTCAAGTGGTGGTCGAGGGGCATTTACAGAGGTGCCTCTGCGCCCCTGGCAAAAAAAAGTGTTCTGCGACCGCTTACTTCGCGTAATGGATGAGCCACCCCTGAGTACTGCAGACAGAGAGAAAGACACTGGAAATTGTTCACACCTGGAACTCTTACAATTTCTGTGTTTGCATTCTTCTGGTAGCTTCTCTTACTCATTTTTTGAATGCCTAAACTGTACAAAAGGACCATCTTACCTATACTCCAAAATTATTCACTCCCAGAAGTATTTGTGTGTAACTCTAGGTCCTCTATGTTATGCCCAAGTATTATATAACTCCCCTGTCACTCAGCAAAGAAATAAAATACAGGGTTTCCTATTATCTGAAGTTTCAGGTATCCACAAGGTGCCTTGGATGTATGCCCGACTTTTTTGAAGGGGGCCAAGGGAAGGGCTTTAAAATAGGTTGGATAAGAAGGGTCAGAAAGGTCAGCCAGGGCATCTGCATTATTTCCAAACACTGGTGAAATTGCAACATGCCTCTCCTCTGGCTAGAACCTGCCAAGCGACTTCTTTTTTGTTCCCTGTCCCCAGGGACAGCCTCCACACCAGATCCAGTAACAGATTATGAGGATGTATCTGGTAGTGGCTACCCTGTGGGATGGGATAAAAAGTCCTGGGCTATCTATCCAGACAAACTGCTGCAGCAAGGGAAGGAAAGGCCCACAGATTAAGGAGGACTGATACAGCACAAACATGCATAAACAGTATACTCTGATAGTGGACTGGAGTCCTTGGAAGTTTTTGCTGAAACAAATGTTAGTCTCAAAGGTGCAACCCTCTAAACAAATCTTGCATAGAAATCTCTGAGACAGGTTCACTTTAGAGTTGTCATAAGTCATAAAGACCTGAAGGCACTAAACAACAATATGTTATTTCCCGCTTTTGCATATCAGTTGGTAAAGAAGTCTCTCCCTTGACACTCAGCAAAGAAACTGAGCAGGACAGGCTCCGTGAACCATATGAGGAACCTTTGTGGAACATTTTGCATTTCGGGTGGTTTGAACTTCATCTCCCAGAGGTTCCAACTAGTAGATCAGAGGCTAATTCTCCACAAGGAAACTTCCTATATTCTGATTCCACTCAGCTGGAATTCCATAGTCCATCTCCATATGGACTATGTATGCTGTAGAAAAAAGGAGGGAGACAGATATAGAAAAATTCATTATGTGATTCCAGCAGCTGGTGCTGTCCCGGTCAGCTGTGGTCATTCATGTCTGAATTACTGATGTGAACCAATAGAAGTCCTAACCTCAGCTTTCCAATGAAGTTATCTCCATCTCGAGATAGGTCAGTGGGATCAATGGAAATCAAGTAATTGGAGGTCTTGCTCTTCTTGCGCTTTCGGCCAGCTAACAGGAAGACCTATGTGAAAGAAGAGGAAATGGCTTCAGATATGGCCATCACTATAGTATTATATGATATTTATCTTGAATGGAACTCAAGAGTTCCCTTGTTTTTATCTGACATTTCGAGGCTCCACATTTGCCACAACTCCACTGAATTCAAAGGAAAGATGCTAATCCAGTATCTGGATGAGGGAGAACAAACTGGAGTTTAATCAAGACAAGACAAAACACTTCTAGTCATTCAACATGGGAAAAGGGATTCAGTCTGTGCCGGATGAAGCTCAGATTGAAATTAAAGATTTCATGGGTGTACTTCTAGACTCAGTCTTGAGCCCAGAGGCCTAGTTTTAGCAGTTGTCAGGAGTGCATTCTGGCAGTTAAAATAAATGTGCCAACTGTTTTATTTCAGGAGATGTCATACATGGCTATGATATCATATGCCTTGATTATGCCTCATTTGGACTACAGCAACACACACTATCTGGGCCTGCCCTGGAAACTGTTCAGAAACTTCATTGGATCCAAAATATCATGGTCTGAGAGTGCTAATTAAAAAGTACAGATAGCACGATTGTTGAAATATCTTCATTGATTACTAGTTAATATCTGGAAGAATTCAAAGTTATGACTTATAATAGTTCAACATCAACATATCTGGAAGACAGCAGATTAAAATGTTTTTTGTAGGAATTGAAAACTTCTGGGCTGGAGATTGTGGTTTTTAGGACTCTGCAGGAATTATTTCCCACAATCAGCTAGAGTTAAAATGGTGCCTACATAGGATACAGAATAAAACACTTCATTTTCTGACAATATTAGTGTTCAAAACCAAAATATTTCCACAGTGCTTCCTTGCTTTTTTATACATTTTAAACCACATTCCATCTTTATCAATACCATGCCATACATCATGTTTTACTTAGAAGCAAAAGTTGCTCGTTCATGCAGTTGCAATAAATCAAAGCTGACTTGACAACAGGTTGCAGCAAATTAGAAGGAAAAGCCCTTAGGGGGAAAAACCTGTCAGACAATATCTTCCTAAAGGACTGTATTTAGCAAAGGTGATAAATGTATCATATCATCCCTAATTCCTTTCACTGGAAGGCAATCTTCCTTTTTTCACAAAAAAAAAAAACAACCTTTAGCCACTCACCTTTTTGTCATTATCAAGGTGAAGGTAGTAGGTTGGGTAGAGGCCCCGATCCATCCCCTTCTTGTCTCGAGTAACTCGACACTTGATGGTCACCGCTTGAGGAGCCGGTTGAAGCACAAATTCCTCCAGGTTCTCCACTTCAATGACTGGAGATGGCGGCCTTTCTTCTTTCTGCAGTTCAGCACCAAAAAATGAGGGAAGATCAGTTTTATAAAACACCACCCAAGGCATTTTGGCAAAAGGGCCACAAGCTGGCACCATTTCAGGAGTTGATTATGTTTATATTGGCACCTTTCCTTCCAGTGTGCCAGAAACTAGTAATATATTTGTGCCCATTGGTTATAAATATACAACAGAGATGACTAGGGGGAAGCTATAAGCCTCATCCCAGCCATCTCTGTTGGTGTATCTAAACTGTACAAATAATGCAGTTTGGCACCACATTAACTGCCATGATACAATGCTATGGAATCGCGGAAGGTGTAATTTCACATGATCTTTAGTCTTCTCTGTTAAAGGGTGAAGGTGCCTCACCAAATAAAACCTCTCATGATTCCACAGCATTGAACCACAGCAGTTAACATATTGTCAAACTGTTTTACTTCTGCAGTGTAGATGCACCCTGTGCTGGTTCCTTGCTTGACTTGATCTCTCTACATAGTTTTACGGAGATCCTCCCCCAACCTGGCTCTTCTCAGATGGGTTAATCTGAAACTACATTGATCCCCAGTCAGCACAGTGGTTGACTATGCGGGTTGTGAATGATGGGAACTGCAGTGAACACTACTCAATAGTACCATATTGTGCTACTACAGATGAACAAGAAGCTGTAGCAGATCCTTCTATTTTCCTAGACTCTGAAAATGACCTTGGATTATATAGGATAGGTGAATGTTGTTGTTGGCATGAAACAGACTGACATCAAGGTGATGTATGAGTAGTACATTTTCAAGTCCCACTTTTTTCCCATTCAATATCCCCCTATGGGGTTCTTGGGTCAGAAAAGGACTGCTCTTAAGTCTCCCAGGTATTACAGAGCTCCCCTGTTCAGAGGACTTTTGAGACCCCCATTGCCCCATGACAATCCCCACCTTCTTTGACTTCTTTGCTTTCCCCTTCTTGTTGGTGTTCTTCTGAGCTGCCTCCTCTTCCTCACTTTCATTTTCAGCGGCTTTTGTGAGAGCTGTGGGTAAAAGAATTCCATAATGACCCAGTCCGTACATGGCCTCTAGAGCCCCCCAGAGTGGTGCTTGGCATGCCAAGAGAAGCTGACCTATTATGCCTCTGATGACTTGCCACACTTTTACCCTCATCTCCAAACTGGACAATGAATGGCAAACCTAGTGTTTTAGTATAAGCTTTCTGACATTTATCTGGGTGGGAGTCTTCTGGTTTACTATATTTCACTTTATGAACTTCAACAACATTCTTTAAAATATAGGGTAACCATGAAATCTAATGGGAAGCTGATTCTCCACCCCCTTGCTCTCTGCAGGCTGAATGATGTTATGGAGTCTGGCCATGCCCCCATGATATCAGTGGGAACCCAAATGGTAAGAGTTTTCCCACCTGGCACTTTAGCTGAAACCTGGCTTTATTCCTCCTCCAAGGGAATCCCTACTATTCTTGATTAGTAATCAGAAATATTGGCAATTCCTTGATGTTAACTAGTCTCCAGGGGCAGGGTTTGAAGAACAATGGGGAGGAGATGGGATTTTCTTTTTAAAAAAATCTGCAGATCAGTTAGGGAATCCCTTGCTTTGGCCTATATCTGATAAGTGCAGCTTCTGAATATGCATCAACTTTAGTTTTGGGACTGACTCCAAGGACCACTTCTTATAAAGGACATTACTGTAGTCAAGCATGTACCTAACCAGAACATATGGGGCAGTGTTAAGGACTGAACCCCAGGATCTTCTGCATACAGGATGCTTAACCAACTAGCTACACATGACAAGCTACAACAACCAACAAACTCATTTCCACAGTGCCTGCAATGGGGTAATGTATACACACAGTTTAACTGTCTTGTTTTGGGAGAAAAAGTCTGGATTATTCCTCTGCTGTCCAACTTTCTCAGGGCCCATCCAGACAGGGCTCAAAATGCGCGAGCTCACACATTTTTACCAGAGTCCTGATTATTCCTCCGGTAAAATCAAATTTATTTGGGACAAAGCAAGGAAACCTTGCTTTGTCCTGAATTAATTTGATACCTGGTAAGGCCCAGATCTTATCAAAGATCCAGGTCTTTCCAGTATGAGCTCAGTGTGGCTTGGGCTGGGGACTGCATCACGTGAAGGTATCGGGACAGCATTTATTTATTTATTTATTTCGTATATTTATATCCCGCCCTTCTCCCCACAAGGGGGACTCAGCGCGGCCTCACACGAACATCAGAGGATGCTACCAACATAAATACCATAAAAACTGCAACTCACAATAAAATCATTTTAAAACATTGTGCATCAACAATAAAAGACATCCTTATAGGAAAGTTCAGGTTTTGGGGGGTGGTGAGGGAACTGAAAGGCAAGCCTAAGTGGGTTGCTTAAACCTGCTTTGGTGTATGTTTAAGTGCTGTCTGGAAGTGGTTTTAAAATCCCCAGTTTCCTTCTGTTCGTCCTTAACGTAGTTCATCTGCTATAAACTTAATTCAAAGTAAAACGTAGTTCATCTGCTATAAACTTAATTCAAAGTAAAACGTAGTTCATCTGCTATAAACTTAATTCAAAGTAAAACGTAGTTCATCTGCTATAAACTTAATTCAAAGTAAAAAAGTATTTTGCACTGGAGAGTAGAGGAGGAAGTTGAATCTTGCACTTCCCAGTAGGATCAGGAAAAACTAAACTACTACAGACTCTTCTAGCTTGTGTATTTTTCTTCCTTGATAATTTTGGTCCCTTCATCATACCCTGGTGTTGCTTGGCCACATGTTTTCCTGTTTTCATCTGTGACATTTTGGGGGAGTGGCTAGTTTGCTACTAAGATATTCTGCCTGTATCTGAAAAAAGATGATTGCCAGAAAAAAAATCTTCGCAAACTGATAGCAAAAGAAGAGGAAGCGAATTATACACTTTCCCTTAATCTCAGGGCCTAGCCAGTGAAGGGTCTGGAGCAGTTTCACCAACTGAACCATTGACAATCTGCCTTTGGCCATGTCCATTAGTTTGTTCTGGCTTTCAGATAACGTGGGTTGAGATAGATTGCTGTGAATAGGACACAGCATTCTTCTAGGGAAGAATTGACAACAAAGGAACTCATACATTGAGACCTAGTTTCAGAATCACATGGAATTGTGGGAAATTGTGGGTTGAAGCAACAGCACTGGGGGACAATGCAATGAGAAAGTGGCAACATACAAAGGGGCTTTAAGACTGGCTTCAAAACAGCACTTCACATTTTCTTTTCATTTTGTCTCTCCGTCTTTCAGTATTCATTTATTGTGAGCATAATTTTTTTTCAAATAAATGCCAGTTTTGCTGAAGCATAAATCATTCTGCTTTGTGCTGAAATTAACCGTCCTTCCTCTAAGATGGAGGCAGTGTAACTTGTCAAAGGTCACCCAGTGGGCTTCTATGGCCCAAGGAGAGCTGAACTTTAGTCTCCCAGAATGTTAATAGAATGTTAATCCAACATACAAACCACTAGATTATACTAACTTCCTCTTGCACAGAATTCCAATGATACTGACAATAAACGCCCTGAAACATTCTCTAGGGAGTATGGTGGGTACTGTATTTTGCCATAATTTTTGACCCCATGGGCCATCATAGATCCAGGAGAAGACTTTTTAAAAAGAAAAATGCCTCCAACATCTTCCCGAAAGTATTTGGGGTAATTTATTGTTGCCTTAGAGGCCCTTGCACTTTCCTGTCCATGGTGTAAGCCATTCCAAGCTAGAGTAATCTGACTTGATATAAGGAAGCTTCCTATTTTCTAAAAGCACAAATTGCCGGTATGCCCATTATGAGTTTACTGGAGTGTCTTACAGTGCTGTTCATCATGTGAAGCACTGATACGTGCAACCAGTTTGCATTACAAATACGCAAGGGGGGAAAAAAGCTGCCTTACTGATTGCAGAAATGCTAGTGGACAACAACAACAACAACAACAACAACAACATCTTTATTTATATTCTGTCCTATCTTCCCAAGGGACTCAGGGCAGATTCCAAAGTCATCTGTTGGAAATAGTTCGATGAGCAGATAGAGCACGCTGGATACTACTCACAGTTTTAATTAAGATGGGGAGGGGGGAGGAGTGGTTGCATTTCTCCCTTTTCTGTTCAATTGAACAGTCTTAATCTACAACAGAAAGCCAACCTGGCATCTGGGAAAATGGAACATTTGTAAAGGCTCAGAAGCATCTTAAGGGGTGCTGACATTTATGTAAGATGAGACTTTCCATCGGCTTTTCAGAATCCAGGTCATTTAGAGCTTTAAAATGAGAACCAATGAAAATATCACCAGATTTCAATGATGAAAACTTGGGTGCATTTGGCCAAACAATATCAGAATGTCATCAAGGCGGCGAAAGTTATTAACTGTGAAGAACAGGCAGACTAGGATAGGCTGCAGCAGTTTGCTTTTGCCTGGTCTAACAGAGGGTAAGTTTTTTCTTATTCGGTCTTCTCTCCACTGCTAAATAAAGTGAGTTGAAACCACATTGTACTTTAAACTTATTATGTAACAAGTGGCATAAGATAAGGACAACTGGAAGGTTGAAACTGGGACACATTAAAAACTTTGAAAATGTGGAATGACTGAAGATTAATTAGGATTGACCTTGCCAAATTGGGACAGTTTGGCAAGGGAGTCAGTGAATGTACCTTCTTGTTCAATCACCTTCCAATGTTTGTTGTAGCAAGGGCTGCCCTTACCTTTCTTTTTTGTTTTCTTCTCCTTAGAGGCATCTCCTCCAGTCTGAAACATTGAAGCGGCAGTCTTCTTTTTCTCAGTTTTGATTGGCTTAGCGCTGGAATCAGAATCATCTTCTGCCTCACTGGCTTTTGGATCTGTAGTGTATTCAGTAGAGTTGTTATGCAAAAGGGAGCCATTGTATTTTGTAACAATATCCTAACTGCCATCACAAAATTTTCATGACTGCAGAATTGCAGAAAGGTGTTTCTTAACATCATTTCTGGCCAATGAAAGATCAAAACATTGAAAAAAAGACAATAACATCATGCCTTAACGCTAAGGGTTGCAAAGCTGTTGCTTCCTCACTGCTAGTCTCACACCCCATGCACATTGGGACAAGAATGAAAATATATACTGAAGATTGAATGTGGGAATATCTCTAAGTCAGGCACAGTCTATATTTTGACCCCAAGGGATGCATGTGCCAAAATGTGATTGTGGATCAGAAGCTACATGCTTCAGGACATGGCTAAAACCAGTCTTCCTATCACCTACTTAATGAAACACAAACGCTAAGGGTTGCAAAGCTGTTGCTACCTCACTGCTAGTCTCACACCCCATGCACATTGGGACAAAATGAAAATATATACTGAAGATTGAATGTGGGAATATCTCTAAGTCAGTATCTCCCTGACATTTCACCATTCAAAATGATGCACAAAATAATTTACTAAGGAAAGTATGCTAAGGAGACTTAATTGGTAGCTACAGTTCACAGAATACCAAAGCCAACTCGTAGTCATTGGTGGAGGGTTCTGAGAGTTGAAGACCAAAGTGTAACGTCTCTTAACTTTAACCAAAAACAGCCAATGGTTTCACCCCTAGAAAAAATAAATTTCTCTAGTTTATCCTCCAGTAATGTAAGTCACCTTTCTTTTTGACTTTTTTGTCTTTCTTGTCCCCATTCACTTGGAACACAGAAATTGGCTCCTTCTTCAAGGCCTTTGTGGTCCGTGCCTTGGCCTCAGGCTCAGCTTTCTCTCCTATTGGAGAGGAAATAGAGTTTCACCAGGAGTAAAGTGTGAGAAGAGAAGATGTGGGCAAAAAAGAGGATGAAAAATAAAATGAGCTGCCATCCCCAGTGCAGAAGGATTGGCAAATTCTGGAAGAATTACAAAGTGCTATAAATACTGGAAAGAAATTTCATAGTGCTGTTTAATATTTGATATATTTCATTGAAAGAAGGAAAAAGGAAATGTACTTTTGTCTCCATAGCCAACGCTGATGGAGGTTGAGCATCTCTTGTTCAGTAATTCGAAATCCAAAATACCTCAAAATCTACATTGGGTTGCTGTGATAGACACCTTGCCTTTTTAATAGTTCAACATACACAATGTTACTTTCATGCAAAATAATATTTCAAATATTGTAGAAATTGATCTTCAGGATATGTGTATAAGGTGTATATGAAGTTTGCCTTTAGACCTGGGTCTCATCTCCAAGTTATCTCATGAATATGCAAATATTCGAAAAGAAGAGAAGGATGAAGAAGAGATTTACACTGGATTTACACTGCCATATAATTCACTTATCAAAGCAGATAATCTGCATTATCTGCTTTGAACTGGATTAGATTTGTCTATACTGCCATATAATCCAGTTCAAAGCAGATAATCTGGATTTTATATGGCAGTGTAGAAGGGGTCTGAGAGGGATGACAGGCTTTCACTGTAACCCATCTTTATTTGGCACAAGTGCATATTGTAAATGACTTAAGTGCTTTCACACCATTCCTGCCTCTTCTGCTTAGAGTCCCTCTTGGATCACCTTTGTCCCATTAACATTGAGGGTCTGAATATATGAGTTGAGTCCAGGAGTTGCCTATACTAATTTTTGTTTTTATTTGAAATTTCAAAATAGATCAGAGAAATACAAAATGGATTGGAACAATACAAACCTGGTGCCCCTGGTTTACATGAATAAGATGTATTTATTTATTCAATGATCTTTAATTCCTAACATGACTGCTATACACTTTGTTAAATAGCTCTTGGCTCACCCTTGTTGACATAGACGTATTACAATATTTATCTGCTTGTCCATCTATTTGCATGGAATTGATTCATTTTGTAACAATGAATTGCTTTATTGACATGGTATTTGGATAGTAAAAGAGTGGAAATTTCCAATAAAATGCTCAGATTTCAGTCTACATAGCTGTTTTATCTCTAGTATTTTCTGGGAGAAGCAATAAATTTTCTTGTTGAACCGCTATCTCCACTATTACATCTCCGCACCTTACGTCTTGCCGGATCTGGGGATTTTGTTGTAGCCTTTACATCTATCTTCCTCCTCATACATACCTTTTTCTGAAGTAGGCTGGGGTCGCTTCCATTTTATGAGCTTCAAGCCATTGGGTTGTATTCAGTGGTAGTTTTAAGATAACTAAAACACTCCCACTCTTTCTAGTCACAATGTTTTGTGAATTCAAGATTTATAACAGCTAAACTGCATTCTCTGAAGGATGTCCTGGGATACTTTCTAAAAGACTAGGCAAAAACCTTGGGAAGAGCTCCTTTTCTGTACCAGAACTTCCAGAAGTTTTCATTTTATTTTGTCTGATAAGTCATAAAGAATTCCATGGTTCTGTATGCCACAAAAAGGTAAACTGCTAGCCAGTCATGGAGCTCAGATAACCTTGCTTAAGGAACATACAAAACCAGTGAACTGTGCTTTCCATCATAATGAAGAAAGAAGACTTTGGGTGCATCGGCACCGCAGAATGAATGCAGCTTGACACCATTTTAATGGCCATGGGTCAATGCTATGAAATACTGAGCATTATAGTTTGATGAGGCACCAGCACTCTTTGGCAGAGATGGCTAAACACTGCAAAACTATAACTGCCAGAACTCCACATCATTGAGCTGTGGCATATAAAGTGATGTCAAATGGCATTCATTTCACAGTGTCGATGGACCATTCAATTTCTTTTTTCACATCTTCATTAAATAATGATTGTGAACCTTTTCACAAGGTAGAAGGAGAGATCACATGCTGTCATGATCTGATGTTGACAGGTATATTGCATTGTTGTTATTGCTGTTGTTTCTGCTGGGTTCCTTCAAGTGGATTCCAACTTATGGTGACCCTAAGGTTTTCTTGGTAAGATTTGTGTGATTTTAAATTATGGAATTGAATGTTTGCCTTTTTATATGTATGTAAGCTGCCCTGAGTCCCTTTGGGGAGAGAGGGCCTTGCCTTCCTGTGAGGCTGAGAAAGTGTAACTTGCCCAAACCCATTTGGTGGATTTTCAAGGCTGAGCAGGGATTCAAAACATGGTGTCCAGAGCTATAGTCCAATGCTCAAACCATTAAGCTACATTGGCTCTCATGTCTTCCAACACATCATACATGAAAATGGAGACACATGTACCCAAGTAATTTCAGAATGTGTTAAGATGACACACTACTAAGGAGGAAGAACACACAAGCTAGGAGAGTCTGCAGTAGTATGCTTTTCTCTGAGATAATTAGGGAAGTTCATTACAAATTACAAACATGATTAACACTGTTTTAAAATACACCATTGAAAAAAAAAGAAACCGGTCTCTTGCTATTCATACTCATAATGCCACCGATTTCTGAGAACTGTAGTTTGATGAGGATGCTGCAAATTCTGTACTGGAGATTCCTAGCCCTTCTCATAAATTATACTCTCAAGAGTTCCAAAGGACAAGAAATTATTATACAAAGATGGCACATGAAGTCACTGACCTTTACTTTTGGGTTTCCTTTCCTTGATTTCACTAGTAGGTGGAGCCTCTTTGTGGATCTTTCTTTTTGGCTTTTTTGGTGGGTCTTCAGATTGCACATCTTCCTCCTCATCTTCCTCGGAGTCATCATCTTCAGAGTCTTCTAGAAATTTGACATATTATCAAATAAATATTTAGAAAGGAAAAAAAGTATAATCAAAGAATATAGTCACGTGTTGCATTTGTAGAGTTAAGGATGGTATGTCTCCTGTGCCCATTCCTTGAGATGTTGGATTTGGTCATGTTTGGTTACAATCTGTTTGAATTACTGTAACATGTTAACAGACTTGGGTGATATATGAGTTCCACTAGATTGTGTTACACATAATGGAGATGTTATTGTTGGAAATGACAACCTTTTTCAAGCCTCCTCTAGTAATGTTTATCTATGATCCTGTTGCTTCCTGATTCCTGTATATATGTTCTGGTATGCAGCTTCCTTTATGGCTCCTAAGAAGTTATAAAAGAGGCTGCACATCACATGATCACTACAGATGACTTCAGACCTCAGATTGCTGTTTTGCTGTAAAAGAATTATATCAAACATTTCTGAAACTGGAATAAGTTTTGTACCAGTGTATGCTGGACAGTACACATGAAGGTTGTGAGTAAACCAAATATGCTATTTTTTATTATCAAAGTCTACTTCATTTTTTCTCTTGAGTGCATGATATAAAACAAGTTGTTTTGGGGAATATATATATATATATATATATATATATATATATGGCACTGAAAAATACTTCTGAAGCACGGCTGCTTTTTATGCACTGTGTTTTTTTAAACAGATCAGAAATAACAGGTTATTCAGTCTAACAATTGAAACCCATTGCTTAGCATAATTACAACTGGTTGTATACCACAAGGGAAGATTCTACACTAAAGGGTTTTGGCTCTTCTCTGAAAGGTCATGCTTTTTCTAAAAAAAAAAAAAGTAATGATCTCCAAAAGGTGTTTTCCAAAAGTTATATCTGTCCCAAGTCATCAAGAGTTACAACAGCTCCACTAACTGGTGGTTATTTCCAGGCCCAATTCAAAATGTTCCTTGTGATGCATAAAGCCCATGTGGCTCAAATTCAGGTCATTTGAAGGACAGTATTCTACCATATGAATCTGTACATGTTTGGGATATTCTGTGAAGAACTTTCTCTCTGTCCCACCATCCACATAGATATATCTGATAGGAAGATGGAAGTGGGACTTCCTAGGCAATATAATGTTGTTTGAAACTGGTCAGTGTTGCCATAGTGGCTGCTCCCAGGCTCTGAATTCCCTTTCCATAGAGATTAGGTTTTTAAAATGATATCTATTTCAAACAGATTTTAAAATTTTGGTTAACAATATTTTTAACTTTTATATTGTGAATTTTAGCTGTTGAAAGCTACCTTGGACACCAAAATGAGGAAATGTATAATCATAGTGATGATAATAACAGTCACCACCGGAGACAAGTCTTTGTGCACAGATGTATTCTCTTAGTTTTTGGACCTAAAATATTTTCCTACTGAATAGTCAACAACTACTATTAATATAACCACTGATGATTTATCCACAAGAGCTTGCACATTATGTACTAACATTCTTTTCATGTGCATGGTTGTCTCAAAGATTCTTCATGATGCTAGACAAAATGTAAAAAAAATACATTCAAAGGAAAAATATAGAATTTGCAATTAGGTTTTAAAATTATGCTTTATTGTTGACTATGAGGATTCAGGACATTAATTTATTGTTGTTAACTTTAATAAATGAAAGTATTTTTATTCATTAGATAACTAGATAACATTATATAACACACTGCAACTAAATTATTATTTAATATCTTAATTTTCAAAACAAATCCTGGGATTTACAGAGGATGGTTTACGGATTGTCGCTCTGGCTGGATCTACTCTGCCATATAACCCAGTTCAAAGCAGATAATCTGGATTTCATGTGGCAGTGTAGATTCAATTTTGTCATTTATTTATCTACCATATTTATACCCCATCCTTCTCAACCCTGAAGGGACTCAAGATGGCTTTACACATAGGCTATTCAACTATTCAATGCCATAAAAACAACGTACAATTAAAATTAATATTAAAACCACATTAAAACATTTAAAAACAGTACATCAACTATTAAAACCACGCAATCCACAATTGTAATCTGGGGCCATTCCAGTAGTCACTGCACATATTCTGTATCCATCTATTGCAGTACAATTATTCTCCAAAGGCTTGGTCCCAAAGCCATGTTTTCACTTTCTTTCTGAAGGCCAGGAAGGAGTCAAAGGAGATTCCACCTGAACATTAGGAAGAACTTCCTGACTGTGAGAGCTGTTCAGCAGTAGAACTCTATGCCCCTGAGTGTGGTGGAGGCTCCTTCTTTGGAGGCTTTTAAGCAGGGGCTGGATGGCCATCTGTCAGGGGCGCTTTTAATGCGATTTTCCTGCTTCTTGGCAGGGAGTTGGACTGGATGGCCCACGAGGTCTCTTCCAACTCAGTGTTTCTGTGATTCTATGAAAGTATTCTTTTTGTTATTTAAATATTGCTCTGTTTGGATAGCAAATGTTCAGTTCCTGCCATTCCACTTCTAATAGCCCGAGAGCTCTCCAACCACCTATATGAGTTAGCACAAAGCTAGTTAAATGTACTAGTTACTTCCAGTTTCTGATAGTGAATGTCTTTAACCAGAAAATTAAGCCAGTCAAGCCTCACGAAAGGGGAGGAAATTAGGTTAGTAGCTAGCACATACAAGTTAGATTTAAATAATTATTTTCAAGCAGTAGAAATATGTGCTGTAAAACTGGAAAGGCGTAGTTTAAATTTAGGTATGTGATTATATGTGTGCTACGGGTTTGTAACCAATCCAACAGGTGGAGAAAATAATGCTGCAGCTGAATTTTAAATATCAGTGGCCAGAATTCGCTTCCAGTGGTCCTTTCTACACTTCCATATAATCCATATTATCAAGTTAAATAATAATAATAATAATAAACCTTTATTTATATCCCGCTACCATCTCCCGAAGGACTCGGTACAGCTTACAAGAGGCCGGGCCCAAATACATAAGTAAAAACAGCAAAAACAGATAATCCACATTATTGGCTTTGAACTGGATTATATGAGTCTACACTGCCATATAATTCAGCTCCATGCAATAATCTGGATTTTATATGGCAGTGTAGAAGGGGCCTAAGGAAGGTAGCCAACTAAGGTAGCGTAACCAATTTAGAAACAGAACTAAGTTGGATTTCCAAGCCTACAAGCAACATGGGTTTGTTCCCCTGTTGATCAAAAAGCAGCTAATCAATGTTTATATCCCCTCATATAGGAAATATCTGGTGCAACAGTCAGAAACAGAGTTTTGGTCACAATTTTCCTCTTCCACTAGAGATAGTTTATGGGAACAAGTGGAAATCTATTGCACACTCATTTTAGGTGTTGTGGGATTGCTTCATCCTACAGCAGTGTCTCAACTCTTCAATACAAGATGATAGATTATTATGTTACTTTAAGATGACTCACATAAAAATGTGTTGGCATGATGATAAACAGATGTGTGCAAGGAATGAACAATTGCTTCTGTTTCTATTGACTTCATTTGTTTCCATTTCCATAAATGTTTTTGTTTCTCAACGTTTTATTTGTTTTGCCTTCCATTCATCACACTGCATTTGTTCATTCAACCTTTTTTCCACTTAAGTCAATGAAGAACTAGACATCATCTACACTGCCATATAATCCAGTTTCTGAATTCAGATTATCTGCTATTCAAAATGGATAATCTGGATTCAGAAACTGGATTATATGGCAGTGTAGATCCAGTCTTAGTTGGCTATCTTCTACAGTCAACTTTCATAATTTCCACTGAAATGGCTTGATATTTATAGGTGTTATGCTACCATCATCCCAATCAATGCATAGTTGAGTTAGCCAAATAGAACCATTTTAGAGATCATTTTCAAAGTATTAATACACAGTAGCTCTCATAGTGCTATTGAATCAAGGAACTGCCAGAAGCAAAGAGGTGTCAACGTTTGAATAAAATGAGTCTAGATCAGTGGCTCCCAATCTTTATTAGACCAAAGATCACTTTGATCAGGGACCACTTTGACCAAGGACCTTTTTGATCAGGAACCATTTTCCAACATGAGTATCAAAAGGGTTACGAATCAGTTTTTGATCAACTTTAGATTCAGTTTGGTTATTTGGGATGCCGATTCAGAAAATTGCATTGGATAGACCACATCAGCTCTAGTTTCTGATACAGAACTTATGCCATCCAGTAGTCACCTACAGAAAACCATATTTAATATACTAGAACTGATGTGGTAATAGTAATTTTTCGTGGGTAGTCAGCTTCTCCCCTTCTGACATCCCTGTTGCCTCAGCACTATAAGAGAGTTTAGTAAGACAAGACGCTCTTTTTGCCATGTGGTTTTGAGGCAACAAAGTAGTAATAGTGAGGCCACGGACCATATTTTCGTAATGGTGGACCATTGATGGTCCACAGAACGCAAGTTGAGAACCACTGATCTAGATCATGACTGCTCAATGTTTTCACCCCCTTGCATCTTTCTTTGGTCTATGTACTCAAACCTTTTGCTTGATTCTTAACTGCAGTCATCACTTCCCACTTCTTTCAATAGGCCGGCTTCTTTATTTATTTTGTCTAGAAGGAGCATCCATGAAGCCCCAACCCCTATAATAGATACTAACTTATATTCACACACAAATGCCAGCTTTTCTTAGCTTTTGTAACCAATATGTCAATTTCTTTTGTCTGTCTCTTTTACTACCCTAAAATGGATTTCCTGAGACAATAAATACTCTTGCCTGACAAGAGCATCCAGAGTCATTTCTCCTGCTTCTGCCACAAGCTTATCTTGCAGCAGTTTTGCTGTTCTCAACTTAATATAAATACCAAATATTCCTATAGGAACATATCTGGATGCTGATCGACCATTCTCCGAGACTTAAATGGTCATGGAGAAAGGTTCTGCTGGTGGCATGTGTGTGTCATTGCACAAAGGAAATAGTGTTTACCTCCTTCTTCAATGACTGCTAAAGAAGATAGCCATAATTTGATATTATGTCCACATATGACACTAATATGACACTGATTTTGGATAGTGTGATTTTAATTATAATTTTATATCGAGTTGTTTTAATGTTGGGTGGTTGTAAGTTTTTTGGGCTGTATGGCCATGTTCCAGAAGCATTCTTTCCTGATGTTTTGCCTGCATCCATGGCAAGCATCCTCAGAGGTAGTGAGGTCTGTTGGAAACATCAGGAGAGAATGCTTCTGGGACATGGCCATACAGCCCAAATAACTTATAACAACCCAGTGATTCCAGCCATGAAAGCCTTTGGCAATACATTGTTTTAATGTGTTATCAAAGGCTTTTCTGGTTGGAATCACTGGGTTGCTATAAGTTTTTTGGGCTGTATGGCTGTTCTCCAGACCCTTGATCATTTTAGTCGCCCTCCTCTGGGCACATTCCAGCTTGTGTCCAGAGATGCCTGCCATAGATGCAGGTGAAACGTCAGGAGAGAATGCTTCTGGAACATGGCCATACAGCCCAAAAACTTACAGCAACTCATTGTTTTAATGTTTTTGGTTTTAATTTAACTGTGTATTTTATTATATGTATGTTTATGGCCTCAAATTGCTGCTTATTTGTCAGGCTGCACTGAGTCCCCTTCAGGATGAGAAGGGCGGGATATAAATACAGTAAATAAATAATAGGATCCCAGGAGCTACAGTATCTTTGATCTTGTCAATCCCACTTGTCTGAGGTCATCAGACTTGCTGAAATGGGACACTGTTTTATAACCAGTTTTAAAAGGTGAACAGGGACATTCTGCTAACAAAACGGCGGTTCCTGTTCTGCCAGTTTCACTGGTCTCCCCTTCCCACCCCTCTTACCCTTCTTGGTGAACTGTACATAGAGTCCCTAGCTGTTTCTTCAATCCCGAACAATGCCTCCAGTGCAAAGCTATAAAACTAAATTAATTAATTAACAAATGAACACATTCTTATTTTGCTTTGATTTTTTTTTCAAATTCCCTTTCACACTTACTGTATAAAAATAAATGAAAAAACTGGAGTCATCCTGCCTGCAACCCATTTTCACACACTTAACTGGTGGAGGGCAGGTTGTGCATCTACATGCAGGGATTGTGCATCTACTCGCAGTTTGACCTCACATGAACTGCTATGGCTCGGTGGCATGGGATACTGGAAGTTGTAGTTCGGTGAGGTACAAGCACTCTTTGGCAGAGAAGGATAAAGACCTTGTCAAACTACAACTCCCATGATTCCATAGCACTAAGCCATCACAGTTAAAATGCCGTCAAACAGCATTACTTCCACAGTGTAGATCAGGCATGGGCAAACTTGGGCCCTCCAGGTGTTTTGTACTTCAACTCCTACAATTCCTAACAGCCCCAGGCCCTTTCAGAAAGGGGCCTGAGGCTGTTAGGAATTGTGGGAGTTGAAGTACAAAACACCTGGAGGGCCCAATTTTGCCCATGTCTGGTGTAGATGCACCCTTTGGAGGTAGACTTCCCCACTCTGGTAGATTTTTGAAGCAATAACCTCCAAGTGCAACCCATAACTACTCTCTCTCTTCTTAGTAGCAGACATGGGAATGGGATTTAAGGGGGATCTACGAGCTGCATCTTGAAATGTCATTTCACAGTAGGGACCTTCCAGGTTGGACTATCAAAGCATGTTACCTTGTTTCTTCTTTGGCGCTTTGGACACATTGAAATGGATGGCAGGTTTTTCTTTCTTTTTTCTGGGATCTTTAATGAACTTGGCATATGGATCCGTCTCGTTTTCATCTTCTGGCTTCTCTTCTTTCTTTTTCCTCACTTTTTTGATAGCAGCTTATGATAAGAGATATCAGAGTCAGTAAGGAAACATATAAAGACAACAGGCAGACAATGGGAGATGATGAAATCATGAGGAGTTGGCTAGCTTATGAGAGAGCCATTCTTCCAATGTATTTTTAAGTAGCCATGTTAGTGTCTTAAAGCATAAAAAAGTAATGGAAGAGACAGTTTTTATGTTAGCATGTGCTTTTGTGGAAATTGATTTATATCCATGAAAATAGTTTTATTTTCTCTCTCCCTCTTTTGTTTTATTTATTTGTAAGACGTGTGAAGCTCCACATATATTAAGATGAGTAACACACCCAACTGGAGGAAAGAAGTGATTCTCCTAGTCTTTGGGGATTAGGCAACCCTTTTTTCCTTTGTTCAGAGAGAAAGCCTTGCCTTATTCTTGTCTTGTGAAGGATCAAAAATTTAGCCTGGGTGTTATCTGCTTGGGGTGTGTCTGCCCTCTCCTGGATGAACCCAATTAAAACACTGCAGCTGGAAGAGAAGTGTCTAGGTCCAAATAGTCCAGTTTGGAAAGTAATTTTTGGACTACAGCTCCCAGCACCCCACATTTAGCATAAACTCTCTTCAAGGATCAGGCATATTAATTTTATTTATTTATTTATTTACTTACCATATTTGTATCCCATCCTTCTCACCCCAAAGGGGACTCAGAGCAGCCTTACAACAAGCAACAATTTGATACCATACACATACATGTCCATTAAATAAACGAATACATTAAAATATATTAAAAACCCAAGCAGTTAAAATATCAATTATTAGACATCAAATAAAATCACACAACCCAAATCATAATCCAGGGGCATTCCATTTGTCAATCAAATTAATTCCTATTCATTTATTGAACTGCTCCAAATACTGATCAAAGGCTTGGTCTCAAAGCCACGTTTTAAGTTTTTTCCCCTAAAGATTAGGAGAGAGGGGGATGATTTAATTTCACTGGGGAGGGAGTTCCATAGACGAGGGACCACCACTGAAAAGGCCCTGTCTCTCATCCCTACCAGTCATGCCTGCAAAGGAGGTGGGACTGAGAGCAGGGCCTCCCCAGATGATCTTAGCCTCCAGTGGATCATAGAGGGAAATACGTTTGGACAGGTAAGCTGGACTGGAACCATTTGAAGCTTTATAGGCTAAAGCCATCACTTTAAATTGTATTCGGTAGCAGACTGGCAGCCAGTGGTGCTGATATAGCAGTGGGGTTGTATGCTCTCTGTATGCCACTCTGGTAAGCAGTCTGGCTGCCACGTGGTGGACCACTTGAAGCTACTGAATAGTCTTCAAAGGCAACACCACATAGAGCGCGTTGCAGTAGTCTATTTGGGGTGTAGCCAGAGTATGGACTACCCTGGGAAAATCTGACTTCCCAAGGTATGATATAATAATAATAATAATAATAATAATAATAATAATAATAATAATAATAATTTCTTTATACCCCACTACCATCTCCCAAGGGACTCGGTGCAGCTTACATGAGGCCGAGCCCACAACACATCAATCACAAAGCAATAACAACAAATAATACAAAGCAATAAAATAAAACTCATAACAAAAAAAGCAATAAACATTAACAATAACACAGCGACAGTTAAAACCTATGGCTGGTATGGTGCACAACTGGTAAGGCTGGTAAGGTATGTGCACAACTGGTGTACAAGTTTTAATTCTGCAAAAGCCCCCTGAGGTTCCAGGATCAGCAATGAATCTAGGAGATCTCCCAAGCTGGAAACCTGGATCTTCAAGGGTGTACATATATTCTTTATTTATATTTATGGACTGAATGTATAGCCCACTTTTTAAAAAATCTAGTATCTTAAGTCAGTTTGCATTTTAAAAAGAAAATGTAATACACAATAAGTCTAAAACCATAACAACGGTGAGAAACCATTATTGCTTCAGTAGTCTAGCAGCTACAAACTTTAATTCTTGAAATGTCATGGTGAAAAGATAAATTTTGGCTACATGCTAAATGTCAGTAGAAAAAGGGTGTGAGGGAATGGGAGCCAAAAGATTGAGGCTTCTTCCCTGAATGTCTCTAAAAGTTAGATTAATCTTTTCCTTATCCAGTTCAAGGAAACTGCTAACATGCTGAGCTCAGATGATTTTTTGCCTTCTGCTGTCAAATGGATGTGGCAGCAGAACATGAAAGGATCCTATTCATTAGCCAAAAGTGGAAGTTACAATTCCATATTTCTCATTTGGTATTGCAATGTTGAACTGGGAGTATGATACAATCCTTGAGGGAAACACCTGGAAAAGGGAAGGGCTGTAGTTCAACAAGAGATCATATGCTTTGTATGTGTAAGATGATAGATCACAAGTTTCATCCCTGTAATGTCCGATTCAGCATTTCTCAAGCAGAATGGTTGGGAAAGATCTCTTGGGAGAGACTCTATGCAACTGTCTGTCAGCAGGGACAGTAGCGGGACCATTGGACTGATTCAGACTGATTCAGCCTCATTTACTAATTTATTGATCATGCCTCTTACCTGGTGGCCGGGCAGCAACATCCTCTGTGGGACTTGATTCCTCTTGCTTTTTTACTCTGGATTTTTTGGGCTTGGCTTCTAGTGTACCCTCTGGCCGTTTCTTTTTTAGCTTCTGCACCAAGAAAAGTAGCTGCATAAGGAAATATCAGTTGTGAGAATCATGAACAAAACTACTTTTCTCCTCTGAGATTATTGTGAAATAATGAAATGGTTTGCCATCAAAGAGCAACTGAGGATGAGATGATACCAAATTATTGGGGATTAGACCCATAGAATCATAAGACACATAGAGTTGGAAAAAACATAGGAGTTACCCAATCCAGCACTCTGCCATGGAGGAATATACAAGCAAAGTTCTCCTAACAGATGGCCACCCAGCCTGTTTGGAAACCTCCAAAGAAGGAGACTCTACCACACTCCAAGGCAGCAGATTCCTCGGTTGAACAGTTTCTAATGTCAGGAAGTTCTTCCTAATGTTTAGGTTGAATCTCTTTGCCTGTAATTTGAACCCACTGCTCCATGTTCAACTCTCTGGAGCAACAAGTTTGCCCCTTCCTCAACACAACAACCCTTCAAATATTCAAACATGACCATCATCTCACCTCTCAACCTCTCTTCTCCAAGCTAAACATACCCAGCTCCCTAAGCCATTCCTCACAAGGCATGGTTTCCAGATCATTTATCATTTTGATCACCCTCCTTTGAATACATTCAGAAAAAACTTGGAAGAGATCAGACCTTCCCGAATTCCTTGGAAAACATGGCTCCGGCTTGAAGTGGGATTTGGGAATTTGTACTCTTTTCAAAAGTAATCTTTCTGGGAGTAAAGCTATGAAGAATCAATAACCCAAAGGCTACACCATGAATATAGTCCACAAGGTTCTATAAAATTAGTGCCTCTTTTTCATAATACCGAATTAATACCTTAAATTAATACTTTCCTAATATCTTTTCTTAGGAAAGAGCCAATATGGAAGTCAGAAAGCAAATCAGTCAACACTTTAGGTATTTGCTGGAATGTTCTCTAAAGTCTTTTCCATCCCCATGAAGCTTAGGAGAAATAGGTTAACTCCTTGTGTCATTCTTAAAATTGAGAGGGATGCACTTTGCATCAATTGATAGATCACTAGATTGGACATGCCTTGTAGTGATCATAAGGTCAGTCCTCTTCAATTGTGATGTCTGTTACTCTCATCCTCTTCAGGCATGTAGCCGGGGGGGGGGGGGGGGGGCTTCAGCCCCCCCCCCCCCGCATTCTCATGGTGGTTTGCGAAAAGCCTTACTGTGCATTATTTAAACTGTTATGTTTATTCATATCATGATCTGATCACCATACTCAATATATCCCATATGCATGGGGGTATTGGGGTAATGATACAAAAGGTTTGCTAGGCTAGACCCTCTTTCACTCAGACTCAGCCCCCACCCCACCCCACCCCACCCCACCCAAATCGAAATCCTGGCTACGGGCCTGATCCTCTTTAACAAAGTATTCTGTATCTCCATGTCTTCCTTCATGCATTTTCTTTTGCTATTTTTTAACCATAATCTATCCAGGTTCCCTGAAAATGCTATTCAAAGAGCGTTGCTAATTTATTCTAGATACTAAATAAATATATTAGTTTGATTTTTTAAAAAAATATCTGCATATGAGAATGTGCCCCATGGTATGTATTTGGGTGGGTGTATATAGACGTCTACAAAAAACAAACAGTGAGATGTGAGAGATGGCCAAGAACTGAAACCCAGAAGTAAACAAACCATTGCCTTATGTTTGCAAGGTATGAAAAGAGGATGTAGCAATTCAAGCCTACGCACAGTTGAACAATGCAGGGAGGAGTAGATGAGAAAAAGATCTTAGTTTAGGAGGGCTTTATAGCCATCAGGGATATAAAGCCCTCCTAAACTAAGATTTCTTTCACATCTACTCCTCAGGGATAGTAACTGGGTGTGTTTCAAAAATAAATAAACAAACAGCCCCACATTGCCAATATATAAAACCAATCTGCTACTGCCAATCCCACATGCTTTAAACCCATGAATCATGCCTTCAAAATGAAGAGGTTGGTGAAAAAGAAACAATATTTTGGGTGTTTTTATGCTGGTTCTGGTTTGCAAAAACTAAAGGCATAAACCAGAACTTTGTTATAATGGGTTCTATGTAACCATTAGGGTTAGAACATTAAAGAAAAAATGATGGGAAATTCACAAACATTTATTTTGCCTTTATTCTCAATCAGTGGGTTGGACACTGAATTATGACTTACACTTGAGTACACCCACTGAAATAAAGGGGCTTAATCATTCATGACTAACATGTTCCATTGATTTCAGTTGGCATGACTAAGTCTGGATCTAACCCACTATTAATGTACTTCTGCCGTCCCAATATTGTTGATCTTTTCCCCCATTTCCCAACAAACAGGACCAAAAACAATGTGTCAGGTCCAAATTGCCACTGAACCATGCTGAGGAGGGAACCAATTACGCCCATCTTGCATGAGCCTGGGATTATTTAGGATTAATATCAAGATTAGCACCACTAGACTGTTCAGCAATATGTAAAAGGGGAGAATAAATTAATTGGGGGAGAATAAATTAATTAATAAAGAAGGATTCTATTCATCCCTGTTGAATGTTGCCATAGATGTATTTCAGTCTTGAAATATATTGCAAAAATATAAAAGTGTGTGACAATTTGGCAGGTACTTTGACGCATATTTTCATATGCGAATAGGAGTTTTATAATAAGGTCTTCTCTGCCCAAGAGTCCTCTTGCTTCAAAAAGCTACAACTCCCAAGATCCCACACCATTGAGCCACAGCAGTGTGGAACCAGCCCCTGAATCCAAAGCTAAGGTTTGGTACAGAAATACCACACTTTGATTTAAAAAATAGCAATAATTAATGCAACTTACCCATCAGAGTCCCATAGGATAGCAAAGAGGGAAACAAATGCCAAGGTATTTATTAGGATACTAATAATTTGATTTATTACACTATTTATCTCAGGCAAGGAGGTAAAAATGTTCAGCTGGCTAGGATGAAGACACAACGTTATATTTCAGCTGTGACTTCTTGCAAGACATTTGTACAGCCCTGTTTTTTTTTGTTTTTACTCCAACAAGGTAGGATTTACTTCACTGTTTTCAAATGCAATGTTCAGGAACTGATCCTGCTTATACTCGATTCTGGAGAATATGCTTTAAAAAACAAACAAACCCTACAACTCCCAAGTGGCCATGTTGGCTGAAAGTGTCTGAAAGTTGTAGTCCAAAGAATATTTTCCAAGCTTCAGTATATTAACAACTTCAAATGAAATAAAAACATTAAACAATTAGAGATGGAGATGTGTTATGGCTGAAGTCAGAATGGTAGAGTGCTTTAAGTAGTGGACTAGCACTCTGGGAAACCATGGTTTGAATGCCTGCTCCACTATGGAAATCTATTGAATGATTTTGGACAAGTCACATTCTTCCAGCTTAAAAGGAAATCAGTGGTAAACATTACATGCCAAAAATAAATACACATAAATGCTATACCGTAAACAAGGAAATACAAAATACTCATTAATAGCTATCAAATACTACACAAAACATCACTAGAAATGTAAAATTTGATTTTCCACCCTCCTAGCTGATTACATAAAATACAATATGTCCCAATTCCTTTACCATACCTAATGATGATATGCATATTTATAAAATAACACCTATTATTCAAAACTCACAAGTGTTATTTTTTCTTGTCTTCTCTATATAAATGTGGAATAAAGTTCCCAATCTTTACAACATTTTCCAAAGACTTCTCTCTGATTAAAACAGATAACTTGCCCATTTTTGTCATTTCAAATATTTTCAATATTCCATTTCTCATTGCTGTTGTCTCTGTATTCTTCCATTTCTGCCCATAACAATAACTTTTACCGTCTTGAACACGTGTCCCAGTTTTCTTCTGTGAAATGTTGATGTATCTGTAGCATTATCGCAGCATCTTTGTATTCTTCAGTACTTTTAGGTATTTAGAGACCATATTCTGAGTGATGGGCAACCAGGGATGGGAAAAGTGTAACCCATGGGCTATGTATGAGCCTCAAAACCATTTTGCAACCTCCAAGGGCACTGTCTAGTGGATTGTAGTGGATTGTTTTGGAGAAATAAGTCTACCCTGCACCTAAATTAAACCCCATAACTGCAAATTATGACCATGTGTGCAAGAGGGTTAAGAAGGACATGCTGAATATACCAAATTGGAGACGACATTAATGATGCAGCCCTCTGGTGCCCAAATCTGAGGAAACCATCTAGACATCCAGAGATGTGGAAACCAATGGTAGGGACCCAAGTGGAGATATTGGTCCTGAAGACCAGGAAAAATGTGGAAGCTAAAAGAGGTAGTATGTGCAGGAAGAGTTATCTGGAGAAACAGCACTGGAAGAAGTTAGAAGCATGGTTTTGGATGATCAGGCCTTGAAAGCCAAAGGATTGGCAGTTTTCCTGAAGAGAGCCATTGTCTTCCCTGGAATATAATTAGCCTAAGCAGGCCATTTGCCTACTTGATATGCTTTTAGCAGGTATAAAGAATCATGGTGAGACAATGTTAAGCCAACTTCTTTCTTTCCTTACACTGTGCAAACGATGGCTTGTATTGTGAGATATGTATCTATCACATAGTTATAGCTACCTACATTACCCCTTCAAAGCCAGTTGTATCTGCAGCACAGACATTCCTCATTATCAGCATTTCAGTGTTGTCAGAGATGGGATCAGTGGGGGAAAATGCATCAAGCAATTTTCCTTTCCAAGAAGGGTTGGGTAGAACTTGGTTGTTGTGTTGACAGAATTCTGACTTCTATGATGACCAAAAAAGTAACTTGCAACAGCTTGGACAATTCACTGAGTTGTTCCATCATAGTTCACTCAAAAGGATGCCAGGTATAATCAGGAATTGTCTTGTGCACAGAATCATGCACATGTGGAGAACCATACCTTCCAACATTTCACAGATGAAAACCAGAACACATGTGGTCAGGGAATGTGATCAAGATGGCAAAAGTTATTTCTAAACAGGATCACATAAGCTTGGAGAGGCGATGCCACAGCAGTTTGCTTTTTCCTGACTCTATAGGGGAGGGAAAGATTCTGCTCCTTCCTCTCCCTCTTGCTGCGTTTGCACTTTGAATTCAGTTTGTAGCAACTGGAATAAGCTGAAGGAAGGATGGCGGGGAAAGATACAGAAACTGGGATATCTGAAAAGCAGTTGACAAAAAGGGGATGACAAAGTATTAATCAATCATGTCCCTACCAAATCAGGGCAGTTGAAGAATATGTACTTAAGCCTGGTGTCCTGAACCACAAGATTGCAATTCTTAGAAACATCAAAGTGAAGTCCTCCATAATACCTTCAAATGGATGCACAGAGGTCACAAGGCTTTGTATGATTCTGAACCTACAAAACACTGATATGAAAATAGGTTGATGGAACACCATGATCCTAGGAGGTGTGCATAAATAGCTTGCAATGGCACAGTTCCTCTGAGATTGAGGTCAAACAGAGTGACTGTGTGGAGGATGCAGATGGATCGAGATTAGGTGCCTTGCCTCTAATCCCATTCTTCAAAGGCTATAAATAAACATGGTTGATCACATGGGAGTCATGTGGCTTGGGCAAGAAAGGCTTGTGAAACAGGTACAAGCGGAGAGCCTGAAACCTGGGACATGGTGAACTTAGAGACAGTCTCAGCATCAATAAACAAGTTAACTAGGTCAGACTCAGCCCCTACTGCTATTCAAAAAGGAAGAACATTGTCCTGGTCTGGGCCAGATGTTGCCAAGGAATGCCATTGTGAAGAAGTGGAAAAGAGCAGCCATGGGGAGATTTGAGTTTGAGCCTTCACTTAGCCATCAATAATGCTATTCAAGCAAATAAGCATCTGTCAAGTTCAGCATAAGACCAGAGGGCTGCCATAAGAAGCAAAATGGACAACTGCGGTTATATTGTCATGCTGTAAACCAGTTGTTCTTAACCTGTGGGCTGAAGACCACCAGTGGGCTGCAAGGATGAAAATCTGGTCCTTGAGCCTCCTTCCTCTATATTTTTTAATTTAATGTATTTTATTTCCGCTTCTTTCACACCACCTGCCACACCTTCCCTGTCGCTGACCATGGCATATGTTCTATATCAGAAACTAGAGTTGATGTGGTCTGTCCAATGCAATTTTCTGAATCAGCACCCCAAACCAAATCTAAAGTTGACCAAAAACCGATTCATAACCCTTTTGGTACTAATGTTGAAGAGTGGTCCCTGGTTAAAGTGGTTCCTGGTCATGTGGTCTCTGGTCAAAAAAAGGTTGGGAACCACTGCTGTAAACCAACTGGAGGAAATGTAGAAGACAAATTCAACCTCACCTCCAAATACACAAAGATTGGAGCTTGGTCAATCTGACCCTGGCAGGGCTACAACCATCAAATGGACACTTGCAAACTAGAACTTTCAAGATAACCAAAACTAGATGTGGTTTCAGAATTGTCTCTTGAATCTTATAGCAGGAGTCTGAGGCATTACCAATGTATTTGTCACATTTTATATCTAATTAGGGCATAGGGTAGAGTTTGGGGAGTACCATATCCAGAATCCCCAGCTAGCAGAGATACTGACTATGCTGCTAGGGGACTCTGAGAAATGGCAGTCTCAAAAAGTACCCCCCTCCCCAGCTCCAGCCGTCCTTTATTTATTGTCTGGCAACTACCCCTTACTTTTTTGTTCAGAGTTGCCTCAAAGCATTGTAATCTCAGTCTAATTCATTGGGTGATATGAACAAATTCTTCATGCCCTCTTCAAATCTAATATTTGGCATTGCTGCAATAGAAAGTCCATTGAGTAGCCAGGCACCTTTATGAGGCACTAGAATCTCTATAAATAAAGCATTCAATGGGAAGGGTTTTCCTACCGGTTTAAGTCTCTGCTGAGGGCTTCCTGATTCCTCATTCACACTAATGGAAAGGGGAACAAAGAAAATAAAGAAAATAACATTAAATAGGATGCAGACTTACTTTGAAAATGTTTGTGAAGCATATTTGATTAAAAGTACACAAAGAGGCACCTACATTGTAGTATCAATGTAATTTGATAGTACTTTAACTGCTATGGCTCAATATTATGAAATCATGGAAGCTGTAGTTTTAGAAGCTCTTTAGACTTCTCTGCCAAAGAATGCCCGGGCCTTACCAAACCACAAACCCCAGGATTTACTAGCAATGAGCATAGCTGTCAAAGTGGTGGCAAACTGCATTAATTTTGCAGTGTGGACATACCCAGTCAGTATAGTGTCCACTGTCCAGTAAGGTATGTGTGATCCTGTCCTATGCCAATAGATGGCATTGCAACCTATCATATTGTGGATATTCCTTACCTATTTTGTCATACACTGTAGGTCACATGGTTCCATCAAGAATGATTGTGATTATTTCATATCCCAGTAATCACCCACGTCCGATGTATAGGGTGTGAGACAAAATGTAAAGGAGGACAGACCTACACTGGTATCTTTGACAGTCAATGGGAAAGGAACACTATGTTCCACCATCAAAGCAAGAAATCCATACTTCAGATACATCCACAACCTATTCTAGATGAGGCTTCCTTTGAAAAATGCTAGGAAAGCTTTACTTGTAATTCATTCTCAGTGTTTACTTTTTGGAACATACTACTTCAATGGTTTTGTTTAATCTATTTTGGCATCCAGTTCATTTCCAAGCCCATTTCAACTGCTGCTTATTATGAACAAACATTATTTTGAAGGACAGAATACTCCAATGATTGTATTGTCAAAAGCTTTAATGAACAGGATCATTGGGGTGTTGTGTGGTTTCCAGGCTGTATGACCATCTTCATTTTCTCCTGATGTTTTGCTTGTATCTGTGGCTTGCATCTTCAGAGGATCCTCTGAAGATGCCAACCATAGATGCAGGTAAAACGTCAGGAGAAAATGCTGCTGGAACACGGTCATACAGCCCAGAAACCACACAATACTCCAAGGACTGCTGCCTCTCACATGGATATGTCTGGCTTTCTCCTAAAAGCCTGTGGAAGTAGATCTGCAGTTGGCTGGAACACAGAATAGGGTCTTCATAGTTGTGGGTTTTGTGTGTAGAATTACCTTTCCAAGGAGACTGCTCTTAGTCATCTTACTCTCGCTGATAATTTTTAATTAAATGTTGAAACTCCTTTTAAAGGCTGGGGCTAATTTTAAATTTTTGCATCTTACACTGAATTTGGGAGTGGGAAGTGAAGCTGTCTTAATGCTTTCTGCTTTTATGAACATGAGGAAGAACTTCCTGACCTTGAGAGGCTAACTGTTCAGCCATGGAACTCTCTGCCCCAGAATGTGGTGCAGGCTCCTTCTTTGGAAGTTTTTGAACAGAGGCTGGATGGCCATCTGTTGGAGGTGCTTTGAACAGGATTTTTCTGCTTCTTGGCAGGGGGTTGGACTGAATGGCCTATGAGGTCTCTTCAAACTCTATCATTCTATGATTTTGCAGTTGTATTATCATAGGTCTCCCATTCAAAGCACCCTGGCAGGTGGCCATCCAGCCTCTGTTTAAAAGCCTCCAAAGAAGGAGCCTCTACCACACTTCAGGGCAGAGAGTTCCACAGCTGAACAGCTCTCACAGTTAGGAAGTTATTTCTAATGTTCAGAAAAGCAGAAAGCATTAAGACAGCTCCACTTCCCACTCCCAAAAATCAGTGTAAGATGCAGGAATTTAAAATTAGTCCCAGCTTCTAAAATGAGTTTCAACATTAAACTAAAAATCATTAGTGAGAGTGGGATGACCAAGGAGCTACTGCATGTAATTGAATAAATGCATGCTTGAATGAATGCCAAAAATGTTGATGTAAAGATGAGTGGGGCTATAAATGAGGTGCACTGCATAGCAGGACCTCCATACTTAGTCATCCCAAACTATCAGGGATCTAGAGGTGGGTCGGTATGGAGACGACTGCTCAATAGAAAGTGGACTGGGGGAAAAACAGGCTTTGTAATAGCTATTTGGTTGAGCTATTGTCCCCTTTGAATGAAGGCAGATATAATGAAATAATTCCATGTTGATACTCAATTGATTAGCACTACTAGCAGACATATTTTTCTTATGAGTGACCATAATGATTATACAGCACAACAATACATCATACATAATTACAGCAACAAATATACAACATTGCAATGTAATACTATCGATATAAATGTCTAGGCAGGTATTGGGTATAGGAACATATCACAATAAGGAAATGTAGGATTTATATAGTCTTCTTCAAGAAAAGAAGATTATACAAGAGAGCTTCACCCCAATTATGGCTGGTGGGTCCCGTGTCAGTGAGGCCATGAATTCACTCCACTTCTAAGTCAAACTTTATCGGAGTTATCCAAGGTGCTGAACTACTGAACCTAAAACAGGTTCAGTCCTTTGTAAGGTGCCTTTGAAGCTATCCAAAACCTGGTGCAGGTTCACCATTCCATGAGATGGGACCCATCAGCTGCCACAGATTCAAGCACATTGAAAGTGTGTTATAATCCTTACATAAACTCTGTAAATTGGCTGAGTATGTCCATATTGCAAGTGGGAGGCTTAATCTGAGAGATTATAGTTTGCCTTTGGATACCTGGAGAGGTCACAGCAGGAGCAAGATTCCCATTTTGTTCTATGGCCTAGCCTTCCCTGATCTGGTGCTCTCCAAGGAATTCAGACTCTCATCATCTGCAGCCACTATGCCAAATAGCCATGTGGGGAAATGTTGGGAGCTGTAGTTGCAGATGGTCTATTTTAGTGAAATCTTGCTCCAGCAATAACCTATAGGCTTTGAAACAATTTCACTAAAAATAGGAATTTTCCAGCTCCATTTCAGTGTCAAGCTATCTTTGTCTAAGAGTAGAAGACATTTGGACTTACCCATCTGCTGTCCACACCTCCCGGAGGATGTCTGACTGGAGGGGCATTGCAGGCAGTCAAAGTCTCTAATTCAGAAGGAATGAGAAACTGGAGGGAACAGAATAGATGCCTGAAAAGAGGATTCCCTCCCCTTCCTTCCTTCCTTCCTTCCTTCCTTCCTTCCTTCCTTCCTTCTGTCCTTCCTTCCTTCCGTCCTTCCTTTCTTCCTGATGTTGGCTTATGCCAAGGAATATATATATGAACAAGTTGCCTAATTTCAGGATTGTGTAAATCAAGAGGGAGACTTCAGTGCACCCACTCGGGGGGAACTGGGAATGCTCTTCCTTGGCTTTCTCATCACTCTGTTCTTGAAAGGAAGTTCTAGAATGCCATGCTGATGATGTCTCCCAGAGTAATAATGCAATCCCTTGATTCCTATACAGTTAGGAACAACAGTAGCCACGGCGATGGGTGACTCTAAGACCGGCTTCTTTGGCTATCTAAGCAGAGTTAGTGGTTCCACAAGGAAACAGCTGAAGAGAGGGAGGCGCCAAGCTGGGAAGATGATGAACTTTTTCATCAAAGCAGGTAATAGGATTTCAAGGGTTGATAGACTGCCAACGGGCCTCCTAGGAGATTCGGAAGAAAGGAACATCTGTCACTGTAATTCATTTAAACAGGGCCAAGAGAAGATTATTCTGGCTTGGAGAGTGTCTGATCTGACGGTCAATGACAGGTTCGGATTGTGTGAAACTGTGGACCTTTCATGGAACGTGTATGTGTGCACATACACATATACATATACATATACACACACATATATATTGGAGGCTTCCCCCACTTTTCTTAAAATGAGTAATGTATGGTAGAAACCCTAACAGATAATGTAGATGCACAATTTCTGATGGAAACAACATACTTTTGGAAAGCATATAATATGCCAGGCAAGTAATTTTGTATACATGGCATGAAGTTATCAAGATTTGTTATGTCACTTCCTGACAACTTCATGCTGATGATACTCAGTGATAGAATTAATCCCTGTTTTACAGGGCTGACCTGGAATTAACAAACCACAGTCTGACTCATTACCTCTTAGTTTCTTAACTAAGCCATTATATGCACAACAGAACATATAAATAGGCTTGCCAAAACCCCCAGTATTTTATTGGTCCCATCAATAAAGCTATTTCCTTTCAAGTAATCAGGAATAAGGCCTGGAGAGTGGACAAACCCCCAATTCAATGAGATATCAGTTTCTACATTAGTGCTACTAAGGTCAGCCTGGTTGGCTCCATGCCTGACCTACTGGATTCCTCTGTCTTGATCCCTGCTTTCTGATTTGCCAATCTGATGTCAAACCACATTTATTGGATTTGATCTTGCCTTCATAGTTTCCATCCTGACTGGGGTATTTTTTTTTCATTTTGAAAACATGGTAATTTTCTTTTGTTCTAGTCAGAAAGGATGTTATACACCTCAGTTACAAGTCCATGGCAAAACCCAATGGGCATTTTTTGTTTTCCGTGTCAGGAGTGACATGAGAAACTGCAAGTTGCTTCTGGTGTGAGAGAATTGGCCGTCTGCAAGGACATTGCCAGGGGACACCCAGATGTTTTTTGATGTTTTACCATCCTTGTGGGAAGCTTCTCTCATGTCCCCACATGGGGAGCTGGAACTGAAAGAGGGAGCTCATCCAAATTCTCCCCGGATCCGACCTCTGACCTGTCAGTCTTCAGTCCTGCCAGTACAAGGGTTTAACCCATTGCATCAGCAATGGATTCAGCAAGGTGGGGAGCACCCTTTTTCACATCCGTTAAGGCAATCTTTCCTGATGGAGTGCACTACAGATATGCTGAACTGTATCAATACATTGTTGTAAGCTGTCTCTATTATAGAAAGTATTGAGGGTTGGCAAGGTTTTGAATGGCTTTACAACAAAATGCTCCGTATGGAAACAGAAATGGCAAGAATTGCTAATCAGTATAGCGTAGCACAGCAGTGTAAAGTTTTGGACTCTCTTTGTAGACATGGCTACTTATGATGAGCATCTCTACTTCAGTGTTTTGCGAGATGGAGACAGAACTGAACCTCTCTGCACTGTTTCAGGAGTCTCAGAGCTGGCAAGAGTGTATTTAATTCTACTAAACATTTCTGCAGAATGGGCTCTATCTGTAGCCATGGAAAGGAGATTAGGGAGGCTATTCTGAGACCTTCACGGGAGTTGTGCTGAGCCTCTCTACTCAGCGGTTTCAGATCTGATCACCTTAAGGGAGGCAGTCTGATAACCGCAACTTCCACAGCATATTAACTCCTTCCACACCAGCTCTTCTCAGTCAGATACACGGTACAACAGACTACTATGTGCTCACTAATCTTATCCTAAAGAACAGATCTAAAACAAATCTTTTCTATACTTATAATGTTTCAAATTATTAAAGAGAAATTCAGAATTGGAAACTAGTGAAATGTGCGTCTTTTGGTTCAAATGCTTTTAAACTTGTATCAACTTATTTTGATTTCAGAAATTCAGATGTAGAAGCACAGGAGTGTTTCAGACCACTGATAAATACTCCGAATGTTATTTATCAAATGTTATCAGGGTATTTCCTACCTGTATCCCCTTATTGGAATCAGTCGTACATCCATCTAGTACTGCCCTTGCATCAGGGATCAGATGATAGAAAAACTGCAATACTTATCAGCATTGTCAGTGAAGCGAAAAGATGGGTGTTGCAGTACAACTCAATTTGGAGAGTCAGAAGTTGCCCCTGCTCCTGGTTGACACTAAATCATGTTCTTCTGCACATTACAATCCAGGCTACAGCGTTCTACAAGCAAAGGTTATATATGGAGGAAGGGACATAGGGCTGGCTTTATCTTTAGGTACAGTGAAATGGTGGCCTAAAGGAGTGGATTTAAGGTACCACAAAAGGGTAGGAAATTGTTTGTTAGCATGATGTTGTACTATTTCTCCAAGGGAGAAGTACTTGAGGATTGGGGCCAAAATAACCTTGACTAGTTTTGGACATCATACACCATTGGTTCCCCTGGTGGTGCAGAGGGTTAAACCACTGCTGAGCTTGCTGACTGAAAGGTTGGTGGTTCGAATCAGGAGAGCGGGGTGAGCTCGTACTGTTAGACCCAGCTTCTGCCAATCTAGCAGTTCGAAAACATGCAAATATGAGTAGATTAATAAGTACTGCCTTGGCGGGAAGGTAACAGCACTCCATGCAGTCATGCTAGCCACATGACCTTGGAGGTGTCTATGGACAACGCTAGCTTTTCGGCTTAGAAATGGAGATGAGCATGGACCTCATTTTTATTTATTTTTTATTCTCTCTCTCTCTCTCTCTCTCTCTCTTATTTTCTTTTTCTTCTCTCTTTTAAATTCTCATTTATCTCGCCTTCCCCTACCATTTTTCCCTACCCCTTTTTACTTTTATCTTAATTGTAAACTAAATATTTAATAAAGATTATTGTTAAAAAAAGAAAGAAATGGAGATGAGCACCACCCACCAGTTGGACACAACTAGACATAATGTCAGGAGAAACCTTTACCTTTTACCTTACGCCACAGTTCCTGAAATGGGGTGCCATTTTTATTTGCTTCAAACAATAAAATGGTTTGGGCTAATTTTGGAATGAGGGTAACCTTTTTAATTGAAAGAGTGGTTTGTTGGCATACAGGCTACAGAAAGGCAGGATCTACTCACCTGCCACACTTTAGCCTATATGGGAAAAATGCCTTTCCATGTCCCTTTGGTGGAGTAGATAGACAACAGTTATAATCACAACATTAGAAATATATCTATACCAGATCACTGAAGAGATGTGATGGTGGTCATCCCTTCTCCTCAGAGCATCTTGGGGATGTAGTTTTATAATATAAAGGATATAGGCAGTTGTGTTTCTTCTCTTATTACCAAGCTACAATTCCCAAGAGCCTTTGAGAAAGCTTGGACAAATATCCAAAAAGGAAAGGTGATTTTGCTCTTTTAAATAAGTAGCACCATTTTAGTATGGCATTTTATGGTGGCACAGCAGGTTAAACTGCCAAACTGCTGAACTTCTGACCGGAATGTTGGCGGTTTGAATCCTGGGAGCGGGGTGAACTTCCACTGTTAGGCCCAGCTTCTGCCAACATAGCAGTTTGAAAACATGCAAATGTGATTAGATCAATAGGTATCACTTCTGTGGGAAGGTAACAGTGCTCCATGCAGTCATGCTGGCCACATTACCTTGGAGGTGTCTATGGACAATGCCAGCTCTTCGGCTTAGAAATGGAAATGAGCCCCCCCCCCCCCCAGGGTGCTGATCCATGTAACTCAGAAGTGACAAGAAAGAAATCAGTGGCTGAAATTCAGTAAAGAACTTAACATCTGTGTAAGTGAACTTGCATCTGTGGGAAACAGAACTGAGCAATTTTGAAATGTCTGAATTTAGCCAGGGCTGCCATGGTATTACAGCATGGGGAAACCAGTAAAGTGACTGTTGCACCTATTGAGTGTTGTGCATCAGGACATGTTTTTATTGTAGCTATGTTTTATTAGTGTAATCATGTTTTATTTAAATATTTGTATTTATTATTATTTTTATTTTTAATTCCATTTTCATTTAGTTATAAGTTTATTGATGTTGCTTATCATCTTGATCTGTGTTATTTGCTTTATTATGGCATTGAATTTTGCGTTTTTGTATGTAAACCACCCTGAGTCCCCTCAAAGAGAGGATAGTCTATAAATAAAGTTGTTATTATTATTATTATTATTATTATTATTATTATTATTATCATCATCATCATCATCATCATCATCATCATTATTATTATTATTATTTAGTGAGGGAATGTCAGTGGAGTCCAGATGCATATTGGTAGAGCTGGTGCTCTGATATACATCTTTGGAATTCACAAGAAAAGTTCCAAAGTGCCTCTACTACATAGCTATATGTATAAGCGAGGTTACCCAACTTAGAATGTTATAGAACAGCAGCCAATGGCCAGTTCTACCATAGTCACCTGGCTAGTCCTATAACAAGGTAAAGGGAGACTATAACTCATGTATGAGAGGTTGAGGGCAGAGTTTTCCAGGGTGTTCCTCTTTAATTCCACTTTGTTCCTCTCTATTGGAAAGCAGAGCTAGCTGTGTGTGCCTCATGGTTGGTTAGAAGATCTTCTACCTCCGCTGTAGTAGAAGACCTTGTCATGTTTCACAGCCTTGTTTTTTGGAGGTTTAAAACTGAGGCTGGATTACTATCTGTCAGGAGTGTTTTCACTGGGTATTTCTGCATGGCAGGGGAGTGGTCCTTGGGATCTCTTCCAATTTTATGATCCTATGAACTTGGACAATGACTTGGTGGACAACACCTCCAAGTCAAGATGGCTACTAACCTTGTTGGCTGGAGGATTCTGGGTGTTGTACTTCACTGTGTTCCTCTCTTTTAAGTTAACTTTTCCAAGCCCAATGTCATCTTATCAACTGCCAGCCTCTGGAATAGGGGACCCATATGATCAATTGCCATGGGCTACAAAAATGTCTTAGTTTGGCATTGTGTGCCTGA